CTACTTCGAAGAAAGCTCTCAATTAGTCGACTCTTACAACATGCTATTGGGTAGGCAGTGGGTCTATTCTTGTTTCCTATAATAGGGCCCCGGAATCCACACGGGGGTTGACAAACTGATGCATGACAAGTGAGATGTGGTCAAGGCTCTTTGAGAGTGAGCGAACAGTGCAGAACCACAACTAGATCATCGTAGCCTGAAGAGAACTGTGCAGTGGGAGTGACCACGGGATCTGGCAGACCTCTACACTCATTGGAAAGACAAGATAGACATACAGTCAGTTTAATACTGGTACCATTTGAATTGGAACTCTAAGCTGGCTGCTGAATATGGGGGAAGAGCACTTATGGGAATGTCCTAAGAGCAGTAAATTTCAGTTCTTTACTGAAAGTAAGAATATGTTCAAACTATATCTTGAATTTTGTGTTCTAGTTTATGACAAATACCTTCAACAATGAAAAACAAAATGAATCTCCTTTTAAACTGAAAAGACTATGGCTTCAGCTGATAATATAAAATTTAGGAAACATTTAAATTTTTTAGTGACAGCTCCGTCTTTATAAACTTTCTCTGCTAGGTGATGTTCTGATAAGGTTGTTGTTTCTTGTGAAAGTTTCCGACATTTCTGTCTCTTTTTTTTTTTCTCTCAAAACTTTCATTGCATATTCATTTTCTGTATAAAGTTAACTTCTGTATTTCACTTTGTGATATACTCAATAGATGTAACATTGTTCCTGATGGTCTTACTGTGTGGTCTAGTAACTTCTTCTTCTTCTTCTTCTTTGTCTTTAGCATTTTCCAGCCCTTGAAGTCACTGCCGAGATATCACCGGCGTCTATTTAGCTCTGTTATTTCTTCTCTACCCGGCTGGTGACCACAAGTGTTTGTAGGTTGCCTCTACAAGGGAACTTCAAATACAAATCTTAAAATGTGATATATATTACAAAAATCATGCCATTGTCTTATAATGTGTCAGTATTGTTGTTAAGGATGTCAAAAGTGTTTAACATGTGACATCAAGGTGCAGAGAACTCACTGACATCATAATAACTTTAAAGATGGCCACCACACTTTTGAGATGCACCAAAGAGCATCAGTATTATGTTTTTTTGACAAATGAAGTGGTGAAACCTACAGAAATTCATAAGCCAATAAAGATACAGTTGAATTAAGAATTGACATCACAGCATTCGGGACACCACCATAAGCGCTCTTTCCCCATCTTCAGCAGCAAGCGAAGTGTTAAAATTACGATGGTACCAGTAACTGATTGTATTGCCTTTCTCCTGGGTATTGAGCGTCGGCCAGATCCCCTTGTAACTCCTCACAGTGCCATTCTCCTCAGAACGTAATATAAAGATACACTGTGTTGATGCATGCCTATCAGTCCTGCAAATGTATAAGTGGAGTAAGCAGTCTCATAACATGGTGCCCTCTGTGATAGACCATTTAAGACCGGGTCAGGCACACCATATGTTGACCCCCAGATGCAACTGCAGCTGTTGAAGGCCTCACACAGGAAAACTCCTGACTGATTGTCAGTGACCTTGCTGCACATCCTTTTCTTGGTTATCAGGGGCGGTTAACCCCGGTAGAAAGTTCTGGACTTAAGTCTTGTTTCAGAACTTTAGGTTTATATGCACATCCTGATACAAAGCTAGCTTATTTGTATACAGACTGTTGGTTTCTCACCTCACAGGCAGATGCACTCCGACTTCGACTTCTTAGAGAAAACACCCCTAATTAGGTCACCTTTTACCAACATCCTTGTTCGGGGAGGGGGGCAGTGGGTCCTATTCCTCAAAGTGGATCCTTAAACTCAGTAAATGCAAATTTTCTAAAAGTACCAAACTTCATCAATGAGCAAACAAGTACATATCTTTGTTTAATAAAACAGCAAACAAGTACCCATCTTTTCTGGCAGATTCATTTTTTTAAAGAGCTAGCACATTTATAGCAACGTTTAGACATCTATGCCCAATGAACACAGTAAGCGTACTTACAAAACAATAACTCAGCTATGATTCATAAATGTCAGAATAAATTATAAATAAGTTATTAAACTTTACAAAATATTTAAAAAATATACATTTTTATAATTTGGCACTGAGTTATGCTGAGTTCAATTTATTACTTAAAGCAGAGTTTTTCAAATCGTCTGTCACGACACATAAGTGTGATGGTGTCAGTGTCAAAGTGTGTTGCCCAATCATAATATATATATATATATATATATATATATATATATATATATATATATATATATATATATATATATATATATATATATACACATCGTGTTTCCCTGAAAATGAGATCCATCCCCCCAAAACGTAAGCCCTAGCACAATTTTAATGATGCTTTTAATATAAGCCATACACCAAAAGTGAGCCCTAGTTAAGATCATCAGCTAAAATGAGAGACTTGTTGCCGAATGGCCAGTTGGAGTACAAATGCCAATGCGACTTAGTTTGCAGTAAGTGGCTTGGGTGAAGAATTCATAGGATAAAATCACCAACAGCTTTGTTACTAATGTAGGTTACATGTACAGGAAATGTTCATTTCAGGAAAGCTTTTTTGCTGTAGTAGATCTCTATATACATTAAAAAGAAGGAGACAAACACTGTTCTTTGGGCACATAATTAGAAGAGGGGCATTGAAAAACATTGTGGAAAGAGGGGGGAGAAGCAGACCAAGAGAGACGATGCTGAATGGGCTGAAACGATGGCATGGAGGGATATCATCAAGAGGGCTGTTCCAGGCAACCAGGAATCGTGATCCGTGGAGATGCATGAGCACCTACGCAAGTTGGCAGGGTACATGATGAATGATGATTTATTGCTGAACATGAGACACTGGGGCCAATGGTTATACAGGAAACAAAGTTGCAAGATATTCAAGCTAGAATTCCGGATTTGGAGAGTATGACAATGTCAGGGAAGAACATGACATAACTGTATTTTAATAAGTGTAGAATTGTGTATCTAAAAACAAAAGAACATCCCCTGAAAATAGACCCTAGTGCATTTTTTAAGCAAAAATTAATATAAGACCCTGTCTTATTTTTCAGGAGCCACAGTATGTTTCCGTATATATATAAGCAGTTATTTCAATCTTCCTTCTTCTTCTTCTCTTCCACCATTTACCTCAGCGAGGTGTTGGGAGGAGAGGTAAGGTTTGTTTGTGCGCTTTTTCACTGTATTGTACAAGTTGGTGTTCATTTCTGTTAGGTTGCTCCTGATGATCTCACTCCATCTTTCTCGTGGTCTTCCCCTTGCTCTGTGTTCATTATATTTCTTCAGCGAGGCTCTTTGTGGCAGTTGGTAACAGGGCATTCTCCTCAGGTGGCCAATTCATCTCATTTAATGAACTTTATGACTGGCCTGAGTCATAGTCTTCTTCAAATTTCTTGATTCCTGATTTTTTCTATTCTTGTCACACTGGCAGCTCTCCTAAGACATCTCATCTCTATTATTTCCTAGCAGACTAAATTACAGTGTCGGGAAATTATTTTTGTCTAAAAAAAGTGTGTCGTCAAACGCTAAAAGATTGGAAAGTTCTGACTTTATGTATCTCAAAGAAAGATATTCGGTCGAATACTGTAAATACTTTCAACTTTGTACTACTGATTGTGTGACTTACATCATAAACATTGGAATATGTGCCCTTCAGGCTTCAGTCATGCTGAAAACAGCTGTATATCCTTTAAAGGAAATGAAGAATATTCTACACAATCTTTCTTTGTCAGTTGAGAGGAGAAAGAGAATCCTCAACAGCTACATCAATCCTATCCTGATATGTAGAAGTGTATCACGGACAGTTGGTGAAAAATTATTTGGAAGCAGTGGAAATGTGTGTTTTATAGACAAATGATGATAATGCCCTGGAGGGAAAAAAAGGCAATGAAGATTTACAATGTAATTTATTAATTTGTGCTTACACAAGAACCCACAATGACGAAGATTACTTTCTACTTATAAAGCTGGTGTAGGGTAAAGAGAGAGGGATAGTACCTCACGGTGAGTGGCAGCCATATCCGTAAGGATAGTCCAGGATCCTATTTGGTTCTTATCTCTTTACCTAGCTCATGTATGGCTCCACGAATACCGCTTGTGTAGGGCGGTGGCCACACCACGGGCAACAGTCTTGGCTGACTGGCTAAACTACATGAGTGAAGTGGGAGTAATATCCTACTAAGGGAGATGTCCATCCCTAGTACACAAAGACTGGGACGGTAAACAAGGCGGAAGATTCTAATTATATAGATCATCGGCTTGCAAAGCGAAACAGCAAAGTGTGTGGCACACATGAGGCGTGTTGGGACACGAAGGAAAACATCGCTGGCCAACGTGGAAAAGATTGGGACCTTACCACGTAGCACCCAGAGACAGTAATGGAAGCACTGAGGAAATTGGGATTGAAAAGAGAGTTGCTGGGTGAAATAAAAAAGAGACAAGTGAAATATTTTGGCCACGTTAAAAGACATAACCGTATTGTAAGGATCATCCTAGAGGGAAAGGTTCAAGGTAGGCGAGCAAGAGGCAGCGTTACAAGTGGGAGGATAACATCAAGAGATGGACGAACAGCAGTATGAGTGAGTGTACATCAAGGGCAAGAGACAGGGCTTGTTGGAGATCCATTGCAGCCAACCTTCATTGTGGAGACCGTACCTGATTGATTGATAAAGCTGGTATGATGTAAATTATTACTTTATCTGATTTTAAAAAAATGTTCATTGTAGTAGACTTCTTTCTGCTTACACAAGAACCTATAATCGAGATTACTTTCTGCTTACACAAGAACCTACAATCGAGATTACTTTCTGCTCCCACAAGAACCTATAATAAAGATTACTTTGTGCTCACACAAGAACCTACAATAAAGCAAATCATTTTATGCTTATGCAAGACCTTATATTGAACATTTGCTGGCCAAAAGAAAAAGACAAACACTGACAATAAATTATTCAAGACACATTTACATGGACATTTAAACTATGATTAAACAATCACTTCAGGCTCGTCAAGAAGTGACCTGGATAACTGAATATTAATATCTTTTTTGTTGTTCTTTTTCGGTTGAGATCGATATTCCTGAATGTCATTGAGATCAGGGGAAGAGTCAGCTTGGGTCATCTGACGCCGAGGATTTTTGTCATATTTGTCCACGTCAATTTCGTTAAGTTCCTCTGTTGGAACTGCTTTAGGAATTCCTTTCTTGTCACTGGATGAGAACAAAGGGTTGCGGTAACGTCGGATATTGTCTTGGATTTCGTTATTTGCTGCCGTTTGAGTGCTGGTTAGATATTCATCTCGCAAGTTCCTCCTTCTTCTTTGCACACGACGATGCCATATGACTAAAATAGCAACACATGCCGCTCCTAACGCTGCGATTACTGAGCATAATACGGGGACTAGAAAAGCAGGCTCTGAAATAGATGAAATAAATAACATTACGAAACAAACATATGCAAATAATAAAAGGTAGGTAAATCACACAAGCGATAAACACCTGATGACACAAAGTGCCACGGAAACCCTATTCAGTCACTAGGCCATATTTAAGGTCCCCGGCACAAGCCAGGGTGGGTCTTCAAAATAACTAAAAAATTGCAACCCACAAGGGGACGACTGTACGAATACAGCAGATACCGTAGACAGACACATTGACTACTGCTGACTACCTGGATGTAACTAATGAAATTAGAAACTGTGTGTGTTTATAAGAAAGAGGCAGCCAGTGTTCTTCGGTCATGATATGGGAACAGAGACACTGAAGAGCTTTGTGATGACCGGACCGATCAATGGTAGGAGAAGCAGAGGTAGACCAAGAGAGGTGATGCATGATGGCCTTAAGCCACGGCATGGAGGAATAGCATTAGTAGAACTGCCAATTACTGACTTTATGTACCAGTTTTGGGGTGTAGGCAAGGAGTCTTTGAGGATTGGCGGCCGCATGGCTAGTACTGTCGCCACGACTGTGCAGGTGAGGATTTTATTTTGCCTGATAGAAAAAAATCCCCAGCCTTACCGAGTATTCAAACCTGGGTCTTCCTCATGAGAGCACATCGTTCTAACTATTTGGCCAGCCGCTCCTCGGCATCAGTGGAACTGACTTTTTGGCAATTCTCATTAGTCTCTTCTGGAGATGTGCCCAATACAACGCCATCTTCTCTGTAATAATTGTTGATGCTAGTGGTTGCCCAGACACTTCTCCTATTTCTTCACCCCTCTTGAATTCATACACAATAGTGTATTTACATCATCTTAATGACATGTAATTAGTGCAGCATCGTCAGCATCATCGGTTGCAAGAGCATACATCATGAGAATTGAAGCAGTAAGATGCAGAGGAAGGCCAAGCAGAAGATGGGTAGATGGAGTTAACAACTTGCTGAAACTCGACAGTGTCACTTTGCAATAAGCTAACTAGCGCACTGTCCGGGAAACTGATCATTAGCCGTGTCTCAGATGCCTAACATCATTAGAGATAGACAATGGACAGACAGACAGGCAGGCAGACAGACAGGCAGAGACAGACAGAGACAAACACAGACAGACAGTCAGAGACAGACACAGATAGACAGACAGACATATAGACAGACAGATAGACAAAAAGATAGATAGATAGAACTGATGTAATACTCTCCCATACCACTATCCTCTTCCTCACTGATAGCTGTCTCCAGTCTGATTTCTGTGACGGCTGCCAGGGCACTGCTGTTTGCCTGTTTGTGTGAGAGAACTGCAGCCATTTTATCCAGTGCCTGGGTTACTGTGTTTTTAGCTTTGTCACTGTCACCATCCAGCCTGGCTGACTGCAAATATAATGAAGTTTCAGAATGATAATGTGATCTGTTGTATTTCAGAAACTATTAAATGTTTTTAAAGTAAAAAGTGTATCGGGTATATAGTGCTAGACATATATTTTATAGACCAAACAACATTTGATTTGTCTATGGTATAGTTAGTTGAGTATCCTTTACAGGTCTTTGCAGAACAAATTAATTATTGTTTTCTTTTCCTTTTGTAATTTTACAAGGCAATTTTACGTTTAGTAGTTTGCCATTGCTTCTGAACAGTCCGCGTTTAATACTACTGTCGAAATGAAAGTAAGGCTTCTACTGCGAAATGCAATAATTCTTCTTCTTCTTCTTCTTCTTTTGTTAGCTTGAAATAAATTATATATACATCTGCAATGTTGTCTTAAGTATGAACTTCACTGTCTTTTGTAATTCTCTCAGCGACCCGTAAAGTTTGACTTTCATGGATGTTTCTCTTGGCCAAAAGTTTTGTCTTGATATGTTGTGTTTGGGACAGTCTTGGAGGACATGATCTGTTGTCTCAGGTGCCAGTCCACATGTGCACATGGCTGATTTGCTGATTTAAAATGTGTTGTACATGTGGCTGCGAAGTCGAATGGTCCTTTTCTAAGGTGTAGAATAATAACTCGCTCTGGTCTGTCCATAAAATGGTAATCATCTTGTGCTGGTTTTGGTGGCTTTCTGATTGATTTGATTATTTTCTTCTTTTGCTGATAAGAGACTGGTACGTCAGGTTGTTCTTCATTTACACCCTACTTAGCTAGTTTATCAGCTTTTTCATTTCCAGGAACTCCATAGTGGGATGGTATCCATCGCATATTTACCTTATACCGGCTGCCTAGTTGTGAGAGTAATGTTCGCATACCAGGTTACTAATCTGTTTTCTTTCTTGTTAAATTCCATAAGATGCCACAGCTGTTGCTCTAAAGTGCACATAGTTCGAGACACAAATGGTTGAAGTACAAATTACATGTGACTGACAAGAGTTACATATTTTTTTGACTTGAATAGCTAGAGCTAATACATTTTTATGAGTGGGGAAAATTGTCTTGATCTGTTCTCTGGTGTTATGCCAGTGTGTTGGGAAATAAACAGAGGACAGATTGGCTAGCTGCTGGCTCTGCACAACTTGGTGGAATATTTATGCATGATAAGGCAGATGTGGTTGAGGCTTTGTGGGAAAACTTGTACATAGCATATGGATCACCACAGTCTGGTGAGAGTGATGTGCCAAGGAGTGACGAGGCGATCTGGCCGATACTCGACGCTTAGATGACGGACGTATAGGCCTAATCAGAATGCTGATGACACCATCTGTACTGGAACTCTGCGCTGGCTGCTGAAGACGGGGATGGAGCACTTTGGAAAAAATCCTGTGTGCTGTGATGTCAGTTCTTGAATCAACCCAACCTAACAACTAATAAATGCAACTAGCAGGCAGAACTCTAAGTGCTTTTTTTAATATCCTACTCCAAAAAGGGGGAATCCACAGGTCACGGGGCAGTCTAATAATTCAGGGGGTGGTAGGCTGCATGCAGTCATGGGACCTAGGCTGCACTCTCTCGTGGGACGTAGATAGGTTGGGGTTAGGGTAAGTTCTAGATGTTTTGGGATCGTTAAAAGCACCACCCTCTAAAATGTTGAGTTATGTCCTGTTACGTCATATGGGTAGAATATTACAAAAGAATCAGACTCTATGTACATATAGATTGCTTGATTGAAAACATGACTCAATAAGGTTATGCTTCATTGCACTGCCGACTGTTGCTATAGGCTCAAGGTTAATAAAATAACTTCTCTCTCAAGGGGGCGGAGTGGTCTCAAGGTATGGTGTCAGCCTCGAGTGCTGGAGGTCCCGGGTTCAAGCCCTGGTGAAGGCTAGGATTTTTTCACGTGGGATTCTACTAATTTCCCCTTGTCTCTGGGTAGTAAGATCAGTTGACCGTGTGTATTGTTGCGCACGTAAAAAATCCCTTGGAGTTGGAAATCTAAAAGAGTAGCCTCACCTCGCTGACCGGGCAAGATGGGGAGTTGAAAATCTACCCAAACTATTTCAGGATCCTCACCGGTGCAATGGAGTTGCACTGAGATTCTTCAGACTCAGGCTTGAGTTAGAAGTAGAACAAAGCACTTATAGGTTACACCCGTGTGCCATGATGTTGATCCATCGACTAAACTAAACTGATGATTGATTGGCACCTTTCACTCTTTCAAGACAATAGAGTTATATTGCGCTATTAGGAGGGATGGGACTTACAGCCCATGGCGATGGTGAGCGTGACTAGCAAGACGCGCCCATGTCAAAAAAAGTCTTCCACGATGATAGTATGGGATTTCAGGGTTTGTCAACATTTGTGTTTAATCCATTTCTTTTCAGACGCTCATTCCCTTCCTGATATGCCCATTCTACACGACACGGTCCATGGCATTTTGTTCCCACGACCTCAATACCTGTATCATTCATGCCCCGCTTGCACACAATGTTATACCGTAGTAGAGGTCGGCCTCGACATCTTCAACCTGCCTTTAATTCACCACAAAGGATGTCCTTAGGACCATCTTCCATTCTCCAGGTGTGACCCAGCCACCTAAGCCTTCGTAGACTGAGCATGGAAAAGATTGTTCTAGTAAAAACTAAACTTAAATAACCCCTCTTACCAGTGTGATCTCCACTGTGCCTGGGTCATGCGGCTGTATGGCACACATCACATACAGAGTGTCCTCATTGACCATTCCCTTCAGCTGTGGAAGCTGCCTCAGACTGTTGCAGATGCTTTCCACAGATATGCCCTAGAATGCATGAAGGATGTGAAATATTGCTGGGACAGTCGTAGACAGATCAGCTCATTTATATCTCATTGTATTCTCTGTAAGTAAAGTAAAGGACCCCTTTCCGCGCCTTCGGGCGTATTGGGCATATAGGGCTAGACCTATAGACCTATTTTTAAAAAACCAATCGGCGGATGATGTGGTCAGCATAACGCCGGCGGCCTTTACTTCCCATGACTTTATCAATTTAAGATTTATATTTTCTGTAGCAATAATAAATTCACTGCTGGTTTGCTAGGCCTGTCATACCCTCACCTGAGAACCCACTGGCCAGGGATGTTTTGGGGGTGACCCAGGATGGCCTTCCTGGTTACCGTAGAGCCTGTGGCACAAGACCACATCATACCTTACCCAGTCCCAGCAATCTCCTACATGATATACCTATTAGAAATAGAAAAAAGTAAAGGACCCTTTTCCACGTCATTCATCCGTATTGGGTTTTCAACGCTAGATCTTTATTTTATAGCCAGAATGGCAGTTGGTGGGTGATGTAGTCAGCATCACACCAGCCGCCTTTACTTACCAGGACTGTACCTGGTACCCATTCAAGGATGGGTCGACCTGAAGCCAAGGTTGTTTTAAAAAAGTGCGGCCCCCTTTCAGGTACCGAACCCACAACCTTCAGATCCGCAGGTAAGCGTCTAGCCGCTAGACCACGGCGGCTCCCATGTATATATCTATACATGACAATATTATAACACCGGCTAATACTAACTCACTCACACAGAGAATGAACCACCCGCATTAGAAGGAGACCATTTACATTCTTCGGTCATGTCATGAGAAGGACACAACCGGCGTACATTGTGATGGGACAGTTGAAGGAGAAAAGAAGCATAGAGAGAGAAAGAAAAAGAAGAAGAAGAAGAAGAAGAAGAAGAAGAAGAAGAAGAAGAAGAAGAAGAAGAAGAAGAAGAAGAAGAAGAAGAAGAAGAAGAAGAAGAAGAAGAAGAAGAAGAAGAAGAAGAAGAAGAAGAAGAAGAAGAAGAAGAAGAAGAAGAAGAAGAAGAAGAAGAAGAAGAAGAAGAAGAAGAAGAAGAAGAAGAAGAAGAAGAAGAAGAAGAAGAAGAAGAAGAAGAAGAAGAAGAAGAAGAAGAAGAAGAAGAAGAAGAAGAAGAAGAAGACGAAGAAGAAGAAGAAGAAGAAGAAGAAGAAGAAGAAGAAGATGAAGAAGAAGAATTGGTGCTGTTAACTAATATGACTAAGTTAACATTGTTCAGACAAAAAGACTAAGTTGACACTGTCCACAAAAATGACTAAGCTGACTGTTCACAATCACAAACCTACCAGAGGCATTTTTGATTTATCAAAGATGAGAATGATTTTGGCGCAGTTGCTGCCCAGATGAGCATGGTTCGGAATGCAGCTCCACTCAGATCCTGGATTGGGTATGTCCTTGACAGCCTCAAGATCCCTACACTCCCCAAAGGGCAAACATGGCGGCGTCAGGCAGGTCACCTGTGTCTGCACTACACAGCTTTGGTCCGGCCGGCAGGGGAACACTGGGGTAGACACGTTTGGGTGGCTGAGACAGTTCTTAGGGCCACACCACATCTGAAAAAAACATTATCAGGGTTCTTATTAATTAAAGTTATGTGTGTATCCTTTGCAGGGTGTTGCAGACCCATTCCCACCAAGTGTTGGCTTTTTGAGTTTTCACTACACAATTCTACCTTGAGTAGTTTGCCACTGCTTACTGAATGGTCCACTCTTGATACCACTTTTGACACCAACGCAAGGCAGTCTGCTGCCACTTCGCCCACAGCTGGGATCAGACCCAACACATTTTTGCCTAAGCAACAGAAGCTGACTCTTTTTAATTAAATTTAAAACAAAAGTGTAATATCCTCATTTAGTTAATCTTAACAAAAATACACATAAAATGTGAATGCATTACAATCATCATCATCATCATCATCATCATCATCATCTTCATGTAAGACGTTCTTACACACAGGTGTGCAGGTTGCACCTGTCTGACATAACCATTATAGGTGCCTTAATTATCACTTCTCTGAGGGTTGAACAGGGTATCTGGGTTCTGCCTTGTTGGTCTGCTGTCCAGACTGTCATATTAACATTTCCGGATGGAAAGTTAAGACTTTAGGTTGCTGCCTGGATGGAGAGACAAACAGAGCGATCGATCTGTCGAGTAGAAGAATCACTCCTAACTTTCTTCACTGGACTACAAGTTACGTCATAACCATAGGGACGACCCATTCACGTTTAACCCCACCAGGACATTACACCGAGCGTTAATGACACCCACCATTCGAATGAGGATTACCTGGGGAAGAGGTCCCAGAAACCCTTTCAACCCATAAGTTGAGTTATATTAGGGCCCCTGGCAACAGCCAGGAAAGGGGGGGGGGGGAGGCTTGAAAACAACAAATTGCGTCTGACATTGGGACGCGAGTATTGACCTTTGGGGTGACCTGATAAAACTGTTGTATATGGTTGTAAGGGTTTCTAATGGAGCCGCCAAAGTGTAGCGGCTGGACAATCGCCTGCAGATTCTCCTCCTCCTCCTCCTCCTCCTCCTGGTTTTGGAGAAGAAAAAAACAATCGTCACGTTCAACCAGCATACCCGAAAGGAGAGCGTTAAATTATAATTGTGACCAGGTTATGTACGCCATTTAAAAAGGCTTAGCATTGCACGCCACAAGAGCCCTGAAAAGGACTCCTGCAGTGTGGATGTGATCAAAGGAGACAGACCCAAATACTCTTACGACTGGCGACGAAGTCGTCTGCCGGCGAGCCAATGGGCGGCCCGGTCGCCGATGAATAACTTGCTGATCGGAAGGTCGTTGATTAAGGTCCTGACGGAGCCGTACGTTCGTTCTTTTTTTTTTTCTCTTCTAACGTGGAATTAGCTTCCAGGTCGAAGCAGCCTTAAATGGGTGCCAGGTTCAGTCCTGAGAAGTAAAGGCGGCCGGCGTGATGTTGACGACATAACCCACCAAGTGCTGATGGGTCTGTAAAATATAGGTCTAGCACTATATGACCAATACGACTGAGGGCGTGGAAAAGGGTGTTATTACAGGGTTTCTAATATTTGCTTCGGTGTGATTCTTATCCTTGAGTTGCTAGTCATACATAATTCCATGAATTTCCCCATTCAGAGTGGAGGCTACCTGAAGACAGTAGTTAAGTTGTTGAGTATCCTTTATATGATGTTGCAGACCAACCCCAATATATTTTGGCTATTGTGGGGTTTGTTTTTTCTAGTCAAATTTAATGTTCAGTAGTTTGTCATTGATAGCTGAACGGTCAGCTGTGGGTACAACTGTCGAAACCAACGCACGACGTTCTGCTGACAAATCGTCTGCAGCTGGGATCAAACCCGGCACCCTGGCATTACGAAGCGCGTTTGCAATGCTTAAGCCACAGACGTCAAAGACAGTAGTACAAAAAGTTGGAAAAGGAAAAAAAAATCACCTTTGTGCATTTGACCTGGCCATTGTCACACCTACATGCATTGCAATCATGTTCCCAAGTGGTACCATCGGAGAATATTCGCCGGCCATGTTCACATGATTTCGGAGACGGTAACTGGCCAATTACTGAAATAAACAAAATATTTCTTAGCATTTTACATCCATTAACATATTTGGGTCTTTAACAAAAGACGGGAATGACAGAACAAAAACTAAATTAGTAATTAGTGAGAATTAGTGAGTGGCTTTTTTAGAGTTTCAGATTGTTCCAGCCAGACCTCTTCCCACCGTTCACAGCCCAAAAGAATACTTATAGTAAACCGTAGAATTGGTTTTTTTATTTTGATAGTTTTGTTTCCATACTAATTTCTGTAACCTATGGTGCCATTTCAATGGTTTGAGAGAAATTATGTCCATATTCCATAGCTGTGGATTTCAAGCTGTACGGTAGACATGGCCAATAAGACACCTTTTTTTGGGGGAGTGGGGGGGGGGGGGGATATGCCTATTTGGTTGTTTTCTTAGTACGCTTGTTTTTTCCTTAGCAAGGCGCACACATCATTTGGATGTGACAGGTTCGATCTCTGGCACGGTAACTAAAGCTTTCGATTTTTATGTTGTCAAGTGTGTCCTTCTATCTTTCTACTTCTTTCTATGAGTGCCGATCAATACATTCTCTTTGATAATTATATATAATTGTTTCCATAGTGTGTTGTTGACTCGTTCGTATCCAAACTGATTGCTACACGCATCATCATTGGAGGTCACACACATGCTGATGATGTCTAAATGTTCAACAACAGAGGCGAGTGTTTATTATACTTTCATAAGCATTTTTCAAATAAATTTTTTCAACTACTCTAACTATCTAGTGCATGATATATAAACACCACAAACACCCCAGGATGTCCCAGCTTCCTCTAATGTCTTCCTAACTGTTGCCATTCCAACTGGAAGCTTCACTGCTTAACGGCAAAACAAACAGGTTTCATAAAGCACTGTATGACAATAAGTAGGAATGAAAAAAAAAAAAAACAGTTTTGACACCTTGATATTTAAGATATTGGAGTCACCTGGCTACTCCACATATTTAGGAAAGCCTGGAATGAAAGAACTGTACCAATAGACTGGCAAAGAGCTGTTATAGTCCCAATTTGGAAAAGAAAAGGCAATAAGCAAGATTGTAACAATTACAGAGGCATCTCTCTTCTAAGCCACGTAGGAAAAATGTTTGCCAAAATTCTGGAACAACGAATTAGATCCGTTGTAGAACCGATCCTGAGCCCATCACAGGTCGGATTTAGGAAAGGAAGAGGGTGTACTGACGCTATTTTTGCTTTAAGACAAGTTAGCGAAAAGACAATAGAACACAGACATCAAATGAACATCGCTTTCATAGATCAAGAAAAAGCTTTCGATAGAGTAAACAGAAATTTATTATGGGAAGTTCTTGAAAACTACGGTATAAATGGAACAATTTTAGATTGTGTTAGGGCTATTTATAGACAAAGTGAAAGCGCCATTAGAACAAGAGCTGGCATCACAGACTGGTTCCCAGTAACATCAGGAGTAAGACAAGGTTGTGTATTATCACCTTTACTTTTCATAATATTTATGGACAATATTAATAAAATAGACATAACACCAACAGATGTCGATAAACAGGAGGACTTCAATGAGCTGCTCTTTGCCGACGATCAATGCATATTTCACAGTGATAGTAAACAGCTGCAAGACCACATGAACCTACTACACGACAGTTGCCTCAAGCATCATATGAAGATCAATACTGAAAAGACAGAAGTCATGAGCATAAGTAGAGAGCAACAGACCATCGACATAAAGATTCTAGATCACAGCCTAAAACAAGTGCAAGAATTTAAATACCTGGGAAGTATCTTTACATCCAATGGTAAAAATAGACAGAGAGATTGAAGCAAGAAATCCAACAAGCCAACAATGTCGCATACCAGCTTGCCCCAATTTTAAAACACCCTGCTGTCCCAGCTGAGATAAAAAAGACAAATTATAAATACAATCTTTATACCGACATTAGGTTATCAATGTCAGACTTGGACATTAACAAAAGAACATGAGAGAAGACTAACCACCTGTGAAATGAGATGTTTGAGAATGGCTGCGAATAAAACCAGAAGAGATCGAGTGAGAAACGATGTGATTACAAGAACTATTGGAACCATACCCATCGTTAAATTTATTGAGAAGCAAAGAATGAAATGGTTTGGTCACCTAATGAGAATGGAACCAACGATGCCAGCATCAAGAGCATACAACATGAAAATCGAAACAACAAGAGGCAGGGGAAGACCAAGAAGAAGATGGATTGAAGGAGTCACGGACAACTTGAGACTTCATAACATCACGGCATATGAAGCGACTGAGCGCGCCCTGGCTCGGTTGCCGATCATCTGATAGACTGCGACGCCTAGCGGCACAAGCAGATTTTGACAAAAGAAGAAGAAGATATTTAAGAGTATATATTAGGTAAGCCGGATTATGTAATAGGCTACAGCAGCGACTATAAATATATCTAACTTCGAACCTCACAGTACCTGTTGCAAAGTCACCATTTTCGTCTTGTTTCTGTCTGAGAACATCCGGTAAAGTGCAGCAGGAGAAGATCGATGCCTGAGAGTAATGACCCAGGTTGGCCCACCCTCTGAAGTTGTCTAGGAGGTTATTTGCTAAAACAATTGTCGACGAGGGATCTTATACTAATGTTTGGTAGACTCCTGCTGTACATGCTTCCCTGTGAGTTCTTATTGATAAGAAACCAATCTTTTGGGCTGGCCGGCACACTAGAGTGACTCGCGTTTCTAACAGTTCTTTTTCCTTTTTCATTTCTTTTGTCCTCCTGCTTTTGCAGTAAAAGCGGCGCAAAGTGGAGTTAGGCAAAGATTCCTGTTTAGCTTATTACGAAACTTGTATTAACGTTGTTACACTTCTGTAGTGTCTTTTACTCCCTCCAGCAATATATTTCTTGGTCAGTTTTTGACTCTTTTCCTACTTTGACCAGATGACCGAACCATTGTATTCTTTCTTTTTCCCCTTCGATATCCTTCTGTCAGAAAACTTCTATCAGGAGGCCATTAGCTTTTCTGAAAGTTAGCGTGCAGTCCATATCTCTCTCTGTACCATAGAGCTTTGTCTTCATTGAGACTGAAACAGGCCAGACTACGCCTCGGTTGGCAGTATAGTGTTGGAGCACAGGCCTAGTATTTTCTGGTGCCACGCTGCAGGGACACGTCTCCTTATTCGCTATGCTGAAACGTATTAACATAAGCCTGTGAAGTCTGTTCTGCCCTGTCCTAAGTCGGAATACAAAACATTGTCCCTCTATAGAGAGGCGAGGAAGAGAGTCTTGGGGAGAAAATGTTTTGTGTGTATCTAGCCACCTTTGTTGGATACTAGATTTTATTAATGTCTTAGTCTCTTGCTGGGTTAAATCACTATTTGGTTTTACCATATTACTTTCTCTTTTGGCCAATCTGTCCGTTATTTAATTGCCTTCCCAGTCAGATTTACCTGAAATCGATTGCAATGCAGATTCTTCTACTGAAGAAGCCAAAGTAAATCAGCTGTTGCATCAAGTCTCTACAGATTTAGGAATCGACATCAATGCACACCGGGCTTACCCATAGATGCTCCATCTCGCACAGCAAACGACTTAAGGTGTAGATGCTGTTCCTATAGCACACTGATTATTATACACACGTCGTTCGCTTCCTCTCAGTCACCCGTCCTTGCCGGATCCACTCCTAATTCTTCATTCCCCTATTTTTACACATGTTGTTTCAGCTTTCTCGTGTCTTCTATCAACATCTGATGTTTAGGGTTTTGAGCAACGGATCAACATCATTGCACACAGGTAGTAACCCATAAGTGCTTCGTTATTCTTCTAACTCAAGTCTGAGTCCGAAGAAGCGCAGCACAGTGCACAGGCTTTGTAGCACCGGTGAGGATCCTGAAATACTTTGGGTAGATTTTGAACTCTAAATTTTGCCCGGGCAGCGCCGTTAGGTTACTCTTCTCAATTTACAACTGCTAAGGATTTTTTAACGACTGCAACAATATACACCGGCATCCAATCTCACTGTCAGAGGCCAGTAGGAATTACTAGAAGTCCAAGTCCACGTGAAAAAATCCCAGCCCTTTCCGGGGATTAAACCCAGAACCTCTAGCACTCAAGACAGACACCATGTCTCAAGACCACGCAGCCCCCTTCTATTAACATCTGTTCATATCTAATATATCTTCTAACAACATTTGTTCATATCTAACAATAGCTTACCAGAATTCAGTAACTCATGTTTCGAATCAGACACGTCAGCCCGCCTTTAGACCCGAATGGCTTACTGTAAGTAATTAATCCAGTGAACTGACTAAAAAGCTTCACGGAATGGGAAACCAGAAAACCGCACACAAAACAACACAACAAGAATTGACGTTTCGGGTGGGGCCTTTCTCAACATAAAATATCTACACTACAATATCAAAGGGGAGAGTACTCCAACCACCAGCGCCATGCACGTTTTAAGTAACAAATTACCTGATTCACAAAGGGAGCCGGTTCTTCCCGGAGGACAAATACATCGGAAGGATGCAATGCCATCAATGCATGTGCTGCCATATGTACACGGATTTGAGGTGCACTCATTGATATCTGATGAGATAACAAGAGAAATTTACAATCATTGTTTACCAACAAGAATGTAAAAAAAACATCAGTAAACTATTAGAGGTGATTACTTATACATGAATCTGAAAAAGAAAAAAAGCAGAAGCAGACATCCGGGAAGCACATAGGGCAGAAGAACTGGCTAATGAAAAAGAGACTTTCAGAAGTGCCATCATGAGAGTGACCTTCTGTCAAGAGACTGCTGACTGATGAGAAAGGAGGTGTGACAAGAAAATGGTTCCTTCATCTCATATAAAACTTTATCTGCATCCAGCCAATCATCAGGTCAACACAGAGCTTGACTTTTGTTGGTTGAGGGCCTATGCTTCATTGGGAGATGAAAGGAAGACAATGACTATCTAATTCATCGACACTGACCCTCAAACAGAGCTGCATAAGCAGTCAAAGCGTCTGACTGACTTTTTTACCCCACCAGGACATCACACAAACGATAAACACCTGGTGACACAAAATGCCACTATGTGGATGAAGATCACCCGTAAAGAGATCCCAGAAACCCCTTTCAGCCGCTAGGCTATATCTATGGTTAGACCATATCTATGCCGCGGCTATATTCAGGGCCCCCGGCAGAAACCAGGGTGAGGCTTTAAATAACGAAAAATTGCATCCCACATGGGAATGACTGATATTGTCAAAGCGTCTGAGTTAATTCCCTTTGACACCAGCATAAGGTGGCACCAAATTAGATTATTTTGATACTGAATTTCCAACAGTCTGATCTGATCTATACAAACACCGTGAGGACATTGTCCTGTTGACTGCTGTTTTGTCAACATGTTTTACCTCTGATACATGAACGTATGTAAGTAAAGTATAGGTCCCTTTTCTATGCCTTTGGGCTTGTAGGACTAATAGAGCTAGACCTTTATTTTTATAGACCAATGGGCACAAGATGGGTAATGTGGTCAGCATCACGTCGGCCGCCTTTACTTCCTGGGACTGCACCCGGTACCCGCTCAAGGCTGGGTCAACCTGAGAGCCAAGGATATTTTTGAAAAAAGTCTGCCTCCACCAGGGAGCGAACCTACAACCTTCCGATCCACAGCGAACGTCTAGCCGCTACACCACAGCAACTCCCATGAAAGTATGTACAGAAAAAAAATGCAGTTCTTTTTATTAGGAAAACTACTGTAGATAAGGAAATACTGCAGATAACAAAACTAATAAAAACAATATATGAATGAGTAAACAAAATTATTGATGATAATAAATAAAAATTGTAACTTACTAATTCTGCAGTCTGGTCCCGAAAATCCCTGGGCGCAGTCACAGATGTACCAGTTGTCTCCATCCATACAAGTACCGCCGTTGTAGCTGAAACATTGTATACATATTAGCTGTAGTCCTTTATAGATCAGTATCCTGGTCAACCCAACTGGGTCACAACTGTGGTAATTTGGGCTTTTCCTAGATCAGTACTGAATATTTGAATGTCCCAATCTTTGATTGTTTAATTTTGCAGAGATTATGTAATAAAAAAAAACCAGATTGTAGCAGTATAGGTTGTAAAGTTTATAATAAGCGGATAGTCACAACATAGCAGCAAAGGCACCAGACATGGAAATTAACATTCAAGCAAAACAAAACAACAACAGAAGTTATGACCGTCGCAAGAACTGGCACCACCAATTTCCTGTCACTAGGATACTCTATTTTCTGAATCTGCAGTTAACAACACAAAGCACGTTTGGAGCTACTCCCCATCTTCTGAATCTGCAGTTAACAGCACAAAGCACGTTTGGAGCTACTCCCTATCTTCTGAATCTGCAATTAACAACACAAATCACGTTTAGAGCTACTTCCCATCTTCTGAATCTGCAGTTAACAACACAAAGCACGTTTGGAGCTACTCTCCATCTTCTGAATCTGCAGTTAACAACACACAGCACGTTTGGAGCTACTCCCCATCTTCTGAATCTGCAGTTAACAACACAAAGCACGTTTGGAGTTTCTGAAGCAGGCACGGTTAAACAGAGATCAGTTTCATTTTCAGGCCTAGATATGCTGGGGTAATAGGAAACGAACCAGCTGATAGGCTTGCTGGTAAGAATAATGTGGAAGTGGGATGGCCTGATCTAAATAACGCTCTATGAGAAGTAAAACGTGTGCAAGAATCAAGTGATGGGTGCCAATTTGGCAACTGTGACCAGACTACAAGAACAGCAAGTAACAAAGGAGGCGATGCCAGACAAGAGCACTATGCAGAAAGCCAAAGACGAATAGAAAACCAGATTAGAACTGGTGCTGTGAGCCGCTACAGGCTATGAGATTTACTGAAGATGGGATCTGAGCACTTATGGCCTGAACTGTTCAATGTATAATAAGAATGATATGTCAACTAACTACTTTAACTTGGGGGGAAAAAACTGCCCAATAGATTTTTTTTTTTTCTATTTGAATACAATATTTATAAGGAAAGATAAACAGAAAAAAGGTTAGAAAATCAAGAATTGCTATTTCAACAAGCAAGCATACCATGGAAATGGATTGCAGTTGTTAATATTAATGCTGCAGACAGGACCTTCAAAGCCATCGCCACAGATACAAGTGTAGCTGTCCCCACTGTTGACACAGGTGCCTCGGTTCTGACAGGGTGCTGAGTCACATGCTCTGTGTGTAGCTAATGGAAGTCCAGAAAAATCATACATCTTAAACACAAGCAGAGAAGTAATTTATCTCATGTGCAACAAGAAAAGTCATCAAATACCGCCATTTACATAAGTAAAGTAAGTAAGTAAAGATTCCTTTTCCCGCCTTCAGGCGCATCGTGCATATGGGAAGAGCACCTACATTTTTACAGACCAATCGGCACTAGGTGGGTAATGTGGTCAGCATTACGCCAGCCTTCTTACTTCCCTAGGGCATACATCCTGTATTTAAGGTTGGGTAGACCTGCGACACCTCATACCATGATAAAAAGCCACACAAATCATTTATATAAATGTTAATTTACATGGAACTGACACGGATTGCTGGCACAGTCAGCAATAATATAACACATATTATGATTACTACATTAATATATGTTCATCTACACGTATGCTACTCATCTCTCTCCATACATATTTTTCACTTATGCGCATCTGCTGTCACCACCTCCAGAGGGGCTCTTTTTATTTGGGGGGGGGGGGGAATAGACCAACTGCACCATTTTTGGAAGGGAAAAAATAGACCAACCGCACCATTTTTTGGGGGGAAAAATTAAATATCACTGCCTATAACAAGAATGCTGTAAAAGACGACAGTTAAAGGTTTGCTGAAATCAGAAGCATTGGGCCGAAAAGCCCAGATATCACAGCCATGCTGTAACAACAACACTATGTGCATTTCTTTTTAAGAGCAAATATTGAAAAATGAAAATAAATCTATCAGTCCTGATGGGTTAAAAACATTTGGCAAGCATATCACAATCGACGTCACTGCACACTGTGCATTCCCATGCGTGCTCATTCCTCGGATGCAACAACCACTCCAAGGCACTTCTGCTAACTGTTCCCACGAGAGGTTTGTTATAATGTCTGTTATCTTGGTCTCGAAGGCGGCATAGACGCTCTTCACCATGCTGTACTCCCATGTCACGCAATCGTGTTAGTGTCAGAGATTCATCATTATCCACTAGTTCCAGTCCGTACAGAGTTGATGATTTTTCCTTTGCTCATGCTTTTTCCCCACATGAGTTAGGGCATTGCTTGTCAGTTGGTCTGCTTGCTCATTACCCTTTACGCCAAGATGACCAGGTGTGTAGATTCAGGTGAGGGAGATGCGATGAAAGTGAGATTTTCCAATGCTTTCTGCTCATTCAGAGCGCACACCGCCAGTTGCTATCTTCTGAAGCATGTTAATAAAGTCTAATGCAATTATTGCATGTGTGGCTGTTTGCTGTACCGCCCATGCTAGTGCTCCGGAAGCAGCAATTATATCCATGGTTATGTTTGAGGTTGTTGCCTGGTAAGCGCCACTGTCCTCTTTTATTCAAATATATAATTAATATGTGCAACCCTTTAGATTATAACTGGGATACGTAAAATACATTAGGAACTGTAGTGGTGTAGTGGCTACAGTATTAGCTATTGACCAAAATGCCTTGGGTTCACATCTAAATGGATAGCAGGTAGTCCTGAGAGGTAAAAGTGACTGGAGTGATGTTGACACATCACCTATGAGTACCATTTGGTGCATCAAAACATGAGTCTAGCATCATATGTCAAGTACACAACTAACATGAAAAGGGACCTTTAGTCATTTCATCATCATCATCATCATCATCATCATCATCATCAACATGTAGCAGGTCCTTTGCAGAATATAACACTTATCAGGGTCTGCATGAAAGAGACTCAGTCTTTCGCAAGATTTCCCGCCTCTTGCACATTCCTATCCAAGGTGTCACTTACATCCTCTGCTCATCTTCATGATGGCTTGCCCTGCCCCTATTTTCTGGTACCATACCCTCTGCTATCATTTATTTATATGGCTGAAAAATTTCAGTTTCCGAGACAAGAAGCTGTTTACTAACCAATCCTTCTCGATGTTCATATCTGTTAGGATATTAGTATTTCTTTTCTTCCGGGTTCATATTCTGAGAGTCTTTCTCAAAAGCCCCCACTGTCTTCATTAGTGACTGTGAGATTCTTACTTATTTACAGTAAGCGTTGTCCACTTTAGCCAACAAAAGGTTTGCAGAGAAATGGATGGTTGCACAACACTCCAAAGGCAGGGTGTATCTGCCAGAAAGGCATGGAACCAACTGTCTGCATACAAAAAAATTCAGATCTGTAAAACAGATCTGCATGCAACATTGAGGTTCTAGAACAGAAGTGGACGAACAACCAGAACTTTCCGCTGGAGTTTACAGCCGGTGAAAATTAGGAAGAAGAACAATTAGGACACCTGCAGACGCTTAGTTAGTTAGTTAGTAGCTTATCCTTTACAGGACGTTGAAGAACCAACAACAGCATTAACTGTTGTGGTTTTTCTAGGCAAATCTACGTCCAGTAGTTTGCCATTGCCTTGTGACAGTCGGCTCCTCGATACCAAGGCCCGCAGATGGGATCAAACCCAGCACTACGAAGCGCGCGCGCAATAACAAAGCCATAGACGCCGACCCTGTAGAGGCTACATCTGCGAAATTTGACCTATGGAGGTCTGGATGAATAATTATATAAAATACTAGTAGTAAAAACTGTACAGCTTACACTGCAAAATATTATTAGGTTAGTAAACAGCTACTTACGAATCTGGCAAAATGTTCCTTTCCAGCCTTCTGAACACCTACAAGAAAACGTATCTCCCAGGTCAACACACGAGCCTCCATTCAAACATGTCATCGCTTCACAGTGACTGTTTTCTTCGGAAAAATAAATACGTATATTTAATTATTAAAGATCATTTCCATTGAAAAAGAAAGAAAAGTTATGGTAATACATGCTTTAGTGTGTCACATGGTCAGGCGCAAAGTGGGCAGATGGGAGACCGAGAGAACTGATGATGGGCAGTTTGACATCGTGACATGGAAGATCATCTGTGTCTGAGCTAACTGAAAGTACACAAGACAGAAAAATGCATATAGACATGACTACCACGACACACGGCGTGGACTATGGAAGATCATCTGTGTCAGAGTTGACCGAAAGTACACGAGACAGAAAGTTGTATATAGACACGTTTACCACGACACACGGCGTGGACTATGGAAGATCATCTGTGTCAGAGTTGACCGAAAGTACACGAGACAGAAAGTTGTATATAGACATGACTACCACGACACACGGCGTGGACTATGGAAGATCATCAGTGTCAGAGCTGACCGAAAGTACACGAGACAGAAAGTTGTATACAGACATGACTAACACGACACACGGCGTGAACTATGGAAGGTCATCTGTGTCAGAGTTGACCGAAAGTACACGAGACAGAAAGTTGTATATAGACACGTTTACCACGACACACGGCGTGGACTATGGAAGATCATCTGTGTCAGAGTTGACCGAAAGTACACGAGACAGAAAGTTGTATATAGACATGACTACCACGACACACGGCGTGGACTATAGAAGATCATCAGTGTCAGAGCTGACCGAAAGTACACGAGACAGAAAGTTGTATACAGACATGACTAACACGACACACGGCGTGAACTATGGAAGGTCATCTGTGTCAGAGTTGACCGAAAGTACACGAGACAGAAAGTTGTATACAGACATGACTAACACGACACACGGCGTGAACTATGGAAGATCATCTGTGTCACCGAAAGTACACGAGACAGAAAGTTGTATATAGACATGACTACTAACGAATCACAGCGTGGACTATGGAAGATCATCTGTGTCAGAGTTGACTGAAAGTACACGAGACAGAAAGTTGTGGATAGACATGACTACCACGACACACGGCGTGAACTATGGAATATCATCAGTGTCAGAGCTGACCGAAAGTACACGAGACAGAAAGTTGTATATAGACATGACTACCACGACACACGGCGTGGACTATGGAAGATCATCTGTGTCAGAGTTGACTGGAAGTACACGAGACAGAAAGTTGTGGATAGACATGACTACCACGACACACGGCGTGGACTATGGAAGATCATCTGTGTCAGAGTTGACTGAAAGTACACGAGACAGAAAGTTGTGGATAGACATGACTACCACGACACACGGCGTGGACTATGGAAGATCATCTGTGTCAGAGTTGACTGAAAGTACACGAGACAGAAAGTTGTATATAGACATGACTACCACGACACACGGCGTGGACTATGGAAGATCATCAGTGTCAGAGTTGATCGAAAGTACACGAGACAGAAAGTTGTATATAGACATGACTACCAACGACTGACAGCGTGGACTATGGAAGATCATCTGTGTCAGAGTTGATCGAAAGTACACGAGACAGAAAGTTTTATATAGACATGACTACTAACGACTGACAGCGTGGACTATGGAAGATCATCTGTGTCAGAGTTGACCGAAAGTACACGAGACAGACAGTTGTATATAGACATGACTACCTCGACACACGGCGTGGACTATGGAAGATCATCAGTGTCAGAGCTGACCGAAAGTACACGAGACAGAAAGTTGTATATAGACATGACTAACACGACACACGGCGTGAACTATGGAAGATCATCTGTGTCCCCGAAAGTACACGAGACAGAAAGTTGTATATAGACATGACTACTAACGAATCACAGCGTGGACTATGGAAGATCATCTGTGTCAGAGTTGACTGAAAGTACACGAGACAGAAAGTTGTGGATAGACATGACTACCACGACACACGGCGTGGACTATGGAAGATCATCAGTGTCAGAGCTGACCGAAAGTACACGAGACAGAAAGTTGTATATAGACATGACTACCACGACACACGGCGTGGACTATGGAAGATCATCTGTGTCAGAGTTGATTGAAAGGACACAAGACAGAAAGTTGTGGATAGACATGGCTACCAACACCACACAGCATGGACTATGGAAGATCATCTGTGTCAGAGTTGACCGAAAGTACACGAGACAGAAAGTTGAATATAGTCATGACTTCTAACGACTCACAGCATGGACTATGGAAGATCATCTGTGTCAGACTGAAAGTACACGAAACAGAAGGTTGTTGATAGACATGATTATCATCGCCAGGCGACATGGACTATGGAAGATCATATGTGTCAGAGTTGACTGAAAGGACACAAGAGAGAAAGTTGTGGATAGACATGGCTACCAACACCACACAGCATGGACTTTAAGAAGAAGAGAGACTCAACAGGGGGTATCGGGGATCTGCTTTGCTGGCCTGCCATCCAGACTATGATTTTTAAATCTCAAGACGGTAAGACATTTAGGTAGTGGCCTGGATGTGACAAACTGATCGCCTGACCGAGGAAGAGTTTTGTCACAACCGATTTCGGTATCCAGGTCGACTCGACTAAACTGGGTACCATGTAAAATCTCAAGAAGTAAAGGCGGTCGGTGCGATGTTCACCACATCACGCCCTAGAGTGCTAACTGGACTATACAAACATAGGTCTTGCATAACATGCCAGACCTGCCGCTCATGTTAAAAGGATCTTTTTTTTTTTTTTTTTTTTTTTAAAAGTTGTTAAAACAAATATGAATTATCATCACCATCATCATCATCATATCCTTTGTATAATTTCACCACCGACTGCTAAATGATCCTTACATTTATGAGTCTTCTTCCCTTCTTTCATCATGTACTATATCCATTACTGTGATTAATGATTATCATCACAGCACTCCGGGCAGAATAGTAACATTAACAAATTATTCTTTGCTGATGACCAGGCCTTGATTGCAGATACAGTCGTGAATTTGCAACATCTCACATCCATGAATGAAGAATGTAAATCAAATAATATGAGAATCAACACCGAAAAGACATGTCTACAACTATCATTGGCACCTGTTCTATGTTGATTAATCAACGGCTTCTTCCTCTGAGAAATATTAATTTCTAGTAGTTCAAGACTCAACCTCCATGCCCAGCAGCCCAAAACAGAATTGCAGTCATGTCATTTGCTATATTTATCTTCATGGAAAGTGCTGAGAGTAGCATTAATAAAATCTCTTCTGTTCAGTACCGGAATAGCTATAGCAACCGCAGCGTCTGCAAGATAATGTGCAAGCTCATTGCAACAAACACCCGCATAACCCCGGTACAAAGATTGAAGTTAGGCTAGCCATTCACAACCTTCTGAGTATTACAAGCCAGATGGTGTGAGAAAGATTATTTACTTTTTCATGTTGTATACCATTTTGTGGCCAGCATAAACTCACAGAATTTGTACCATGCAATTTTCTAGGATTTTTAAGGGTGTAAAGCTAGTTTTAAATAATAAAAAACACGTTTAGGCTAGAAAATGAACACACACAAAATGTACCTAGCTATAGACTTACTTAATGAACAGGTTTTCCCTTTCCATCCATCAACACACTTGCACTGAAACTCTGAAGTCAAGTCTAGGCACTCTCCTCCATTTCGACATGGGTTAATTTCACAGTCGTTTTTATCTGCAACAGATAAGTAGGAGTAAGAGAAAGGGAATTAGTTACTTCTATGTTCTGTGCAGGTCATCACAAACCAGAGTTAGCTATTTGTTCTGTACAGGTCATCACAAACCAGAGTTAGTTATATGTTCTGTACAGGTCATCACAAACCAGAGTTAGCTATTTGTTCTGTACAGGTCATCACAAACCAGAGTTAGTTATATGTTCTGTACAGGTCATCACAAACCAGAGTTAGCTATTTGTTCTGTACAGGTCATCACAAACCAGAGTTAGTTATATGTTCTGTACAGGTCATCACAAACCAGAGTTAGTTATATGTTATATACAGGTCATCACAAACCAGAGTTAGCTATTTGTTCTGTACAGGTCATCACAAACCAGAGTTAGTTATATGTTATGTACAGGTCATCACAAACCAGAGTTAGTTATATGTTTTGTACTAGTCATCACAAACCAGAGTTAGTTATATGTTCTGTACAGGTCATCCCAAACCTTGGTTAGTTATATTTTCTGTACAGGTCATCACAAAACAGAGTTAGTTATATGTTCTGTACAGGTCATCACAAACCAGAGTTAGTTATATTTTCTGTACAGGTCATCACAAAACAGAGTTAGTTATATGTTCTCTACAGGTCATCACAAAACAGAGTTAGTTATATGTTCTGTACAGGTCATCCCAAACCTTGGTTAGTTATTTTTTCTGTACAGGTCATCACAAAACAGAGTTAGTTATATGTTCTGTACAGGTTATCACAAAACAGAGTTAGTTATATGTTCTGTACAGGTCCTCACAAAACAGAGTTAGTTATATGTTCTGTACAGGTCCTCACAAAACAGAGTTAGTTATATGTTCTGTACAGTTTATCAAAAACCAAAACCAGCAATCATTGTTTATTAGTGGGTTTATTAAGCTTTCTATCAACGCCATGAGGAAATTGGAAAAGATAGGATGGTGCTAACAAAGAGAGACAGGGACCGAGTAGCACAAAGGCGAGCCCAGGATATAAATGAAACCTTGGGTAGAAAGTGCATGAGACGGTAGGGCTGGCGAGAGACCGAGTTTCTTGCAGGCAGGCTGTGATGACAGCGCAGTTCTGCAAAGCACCTGCTACATGATAATGATGACTTTGCCGTAAAGCATCATCATCATCATGATCATAAACAATATCTGCCGTTAATCGTCGTGGGAAGGAATAATTTGCTACTCAGAGCACGCTGGCTGCCACCGGTCACTGTCATGCCATGAAGGCGTAAAGTGTCTCTAATGTTGTAGATCCATTTTTCCGCGGCCGTCCTCTTGCTTCCGTAGCCGATCCTCTGAAATGCAGTGCCCGTGATGGCATTTGATCTTGCTGCATTTTAACGAGATGTCCAGACTTCTTGATCCGCTGTTTCTTGATGAATTCAGCACAAGGTGTCGTTCCCACAACCTGCCTGATGGCTAGGCTGGCGGATCAGGTGGTGATTTTGCGTATACGGGCTTTAAATAGTGTCCATGTTTGGCACTGGCAGCTGTGTTGAAATGAATATGCTGTTTATAATCTGCCTCTTTGTACTCATGGTTATGCTTGGATGTCTTAATAATGGTGACAATTGGTATATATGTACATTAGCTTTCTGACACCTGGTTTCTATTTCTCTGTCTACTCAACCAACTTCCGTGATAATATTTCCTATATGTTTAAATTAACTAAGTTGATTCAGAGCAGAACCATCCAGCTGTATGTGTAGTGGACCAGGGGTTCTACTAACTTGCACTCTTTTAGTTTTGTTTGCATTGATCTTTATGTTGTATTTACTGCATGCAGAGTTGATTTGATTTGATTTGATTTGATTCAAGAACCGACATCACAGCACTCGGGGCATTCCCATAAGCGCTCCGTCCCCATCTTCAGCAGCCAGCGAAGAGTTCCGATTGCATGCAGAGTTGAACCTGTTAAGACCCAAGACGAATGTTGATGACAGAGGCAAAAGACGATAGACTGGGTTCCGCGCATGATATTGAAACAATTGTACAGGATAGAGGGATATGGGAAAATAAACTATGTAAGGAGGATAACGATGAGTTTGTCATTGCTTTCTGAATCGTCAAGCCTGATACCTTTGTTAAAATCACTGCAAATATAATCTGTAGCTGAATCTGACTTGGTATGTCAGAAATGTAAAACTGTAAAATGTCAAACAACCCGATATGCGGAGCGTTTATAATCAATATTTCCAGGACTGGCACATTATGTGAATTACAGTGATAAAACTGGATAAATAACTGTAATGGATATACATACCCAACCTTGTGTACAAGGGAGATTGAGAAATAATGCATATGGTGGTAAAAAATTAGAAAGGGTAAAAGTAAAACCTAAAAGTAAAGGACCCTTTTCCACGCCTTTAGGCGTGTAGGGCATATAGGGCTAGACCTATATTTTTATAGACCAATCGGCTCAAGATAGGTGATGTGGTCAGCCTCACGCCGGCCGCCTTTACTTCCCGGGACTGCACTAGGTACCCACTGAAGGCTGGGTCGACCTGGGAGAAAGGGTCATTTCTGAAAAAAAAAAAAAACGGCTCCGCCAGTGAGCGAACCCACGACCTTCCGATCCGCGGCGAGCGTCTAGCCGCTCCGCCACGGCTACTCCCAACGATAAAATAGGTTCAAGTAGAAATTAGAAATGGTTAAAAAAGTTCAAGTAAAAATCAAAAACGGTAATGTAGGTTAAATAATGAAACATAAAAGTTTCAAATTATTATTTTTTTTTTTTAAATTTTGGCAACATAGAAATTAAACTTAAGAATAATGATTGTTGTTGTTTGTCAGCAAAAGACAATACACATTTAAAGGGCACAGCTTACTCAAGTTACATAAGGGCCCTTCCCAACTCTCGGGACAGATGCACTGGAAGGAATTCACTCCATCAACACACGTGCCAGAGTTCTGGCATGGATCGCTGGCACAGTCATCGATATCTGTAACACACGTTAGGATTTCTACATAAACATACACCAGTCAACAAGTATGCATGAATAAAGTTCAATCCGACCAGGACCGCACAACGAGCGAAAATACCCGGTAACACAAAGTGTCACCATTCAGATGAGAAACACCCGGGCGCAAATCCCATAAACCCAGTTCAACAGCTATGTCTCATTTTCCCCGACAACAGCCGGAGTGGAGATTGAAAAAACAATAACAAATTGTGACCAATGTTGGGACGGCAACAGATAATTTTGATCTACAAGTATGCTACTCAACTCCCTCTATACCTATTCTACACTCCCTCTACACTGCCTCTATACACGTTCTACACTCCCTCTATACATGTTCTACACTCCCTCTATACATATTCTACAATCCCTCTGCACATATTCTACAATCCCTCTGCACATATTCAACAATCCCTCTGCACATATTCTACACTCCCTCTGCACATATTCTATAATCCCTCTGCACATATTATACAATCCCTCTGCACATATTCTACACTCCCTCTGCACATATTCTACACTAAATCTGCACATATTCTACACTCTCTCTGCACATATTCTACACTAAATCTGCACATATTCTACACTAAATCTGCACATATTCTACACTAAATCTGCACATATTCTACACTAAATCTGCACATATTCTACACTAAATCTGCACATATTCTACACTAAATCTGCACATATTCTACACTAAATCTGCACATATTCTACACTCCCTCCGCACATATTCTACACTCCCTCTACACATATTATACACTCTCTCTATACATATTGTACACTCCCTCTACACATATTCTACACTCCCTCTACACATATTCTACCCTCCATGTACACATATTCTACACTCCCTCTACACATATTCTACCCTCCATGTACACATATTCTACACTTGTAAAGAAGACGATCTACATACAAACTACATCCACATAACATCTATTTACGCGCAGTGCTTTCTTTGATGCAGAAATAATTAATCGTTTTGTCCACATTCTATGTTTAGAGATCAACAATCAATAAGTCAACCAGCATGGCCTTTAAGGACCGTGACTCTCTTCACGGCACGCCTTCAAGTCTCTCATTCTATAGCCACTTTTTCAGCTCTATGTGCTCTCATTGTCAAGGCATCTTCACTGTCCTGTACAGGGCTACCAATGCTGGGTTTTCCCCCCAGATCTGGGTTTTTATTTGACGCCTGGTGGAAACCTGGGTTTAAAAAAAATATAATTCTTATATAAAAGTGGTAAATGTTTCGTTTCGTAAATACACATTTTGTACATTTTAACAATCTGGGGTTTTTGTTCTTTGTCTATGTATTGCTTGGGTTTTTGTTCAGCTAAGCTTGGTTTTTTAAAAACATCCCATTGGCAGCCCTAGTCCTGTGTCCACATTCGTGGAGTTCAGTCTCTGCCTTGTTTTCCTGAAACTGGGACGTCCATCATCGTTCTCCTCATATCACCATGGCGCTAGACATGACCAAAATATCTCAGCTATCTGTAGACGATGCTGTTTACGAGCCAGTTCTCCTAGATGTCCAGATCACGCAGGAAGAGATCAACACAGACAACACAGAAAAACTTACTCTGATGGCAGTAGGTTCCCATGTATCCTGGCACGCAAGCACAGGAGAATGCCCCGTTGGGCTGGCTAAGACACATTCCTTGTTTTCCGCACACACCAGAGGATATCAGGCGAAATCCGCCGGTGGACAGATTTGAAGGTATGGACACTGTGCAGCTGTCAATCACTGGAAGGGAGAGAATATAACAAAATGTTGATTTAACTCGGAAAGCGCGTAACGTAGCGAACCCAAAATAGCGGGCTAACGCTAATTTATTTGTTTCCAAAAAGGTTTTGCTGATGCTATTTAAAATTTCTGGACCGGAAGTCTATAGGTGTCCCAACCAAGCAATAGAGTTGAGTGTTTGGTGCAACACTGTGAGCTATACAGTTTTGTTTAGAATTTTTGTCTATGTGTGTCTGATGTGTCCACGGCGTGCTGTCATTAAAATGACAAGCGTCGATTACGTTCGGAATTGCGTGTACATGCAAAGCCGGCTTTCGTGACTGACCGTTTGCGCCAGCACTGAACTACGCCAGTGGACAGAGTAGAAAATAAGGAAACAATGCAGCTGTCAATCACTGGAAAGGGGAGAATATCATAAAATGTTAATTTAACTCGGAAAGCGCGGAAAGTAACGAACCCTTATCGCAAGAGTGATTCCTCGTGTAGGTTCTGGCGACCCAAATTAGAGGGATAACAGACCCACTGGTCCTTGACAAGCATGTCGTAAAAGGTGACAAATTAAAGTTTTGTTGAAATCAGATGCATTGGGTGGAAATATAGTTTTCACAGCCAAGCTGTAAACTACAATATAACGTTGCAACCATCTTTTGTGTATGGAAAGGACGAAAGCAGAAAAAAATACTATTGGTGTTCTGGGTTTATGATCTATAACTTTGATTTATAAATTACGTCAAGCATGAGCAGAGCACTAGCATCATAGGCTGTACAACAAGCAGTCACACATATTGTAATCATAACGGTCTCCAAGAACATGCTTCAGAAAATCGCAACAGGTAGTACACTCTCTGCATGGGTAGAAATTCGTTGGAAATTGCACTTAACCTCCCTCCACTGGATCTGTAGGCCGCGCCATGCTACCATGAAAGTTAATGAACGAGCAGACCAACTGGCAAGCTATGCACCAATGCTTCCGGGAAGAAGCATGGAAAGAGCAGTTATTATTAACACTGACAGACCAGGTTAGTGGATAATGACGAATCTCTGTCACTAACATGATTGCACGACATGGGAGTAAAAGCATGGTGAAGCACATTTATGCCGACTTCGAGACGGAGATAGAAGACATGTGAAGTGTAACTGAGTATTCACGTGTCAGTTGTAACTCCGTATACCCATGTCAAGTATAACTCAGTATTCACATAAGGATAACAAGTAGCAAATATCAATATCTATTTCATTGGACCTGAGTGAACTAAACAAATCTGGCTTGTTATTTTAACATGCTACACATTAAGTTTAACAGTGGGTGTATAGATGTTGCCACTTTGGAAGTTATTAAGTTTCTCATGCTGTTTAGTCACTACATTGCTAAAGAAAGCCCTCTTCTGACTTCTGTTTTTGCAGTTGCCATTGTTGCTTGCTACTGAGAATTTAAAAAAACCCTCAAAATGCGAGATATTCGACTTCTTTGTTATCGATTTTAATTAGTAGTTGATTTGCTGAATTCATTGTGCACATTTATTTTTTCAGATTCAAAAAATACTGTGGGCTCAAGTTCTACTGGTTGGTAGAAGACAGAAGAAGACGAAGCAAAAGGAAAAAGAGGAAGAGGAAGATGGGGTAGGTAGGTAGGTAGGTAGGTAGGTAGGTAGGTGGGTAGGTAGGTAGGTAGGTAGGTAGGTAGGTAGGTAGGTAGGTAAGTAGTTGTATCCCACCAGGACATCACACAAACGATAAACACCCGGTGACACAAAGTGCCACCATGCGGATGAGGATCACCCGTGGAGGTCCCAGAAACTCCTCTCAGCCTTTTAGGCCATATCTATGGCTAGGCTATTTATGGCCCGGCTATATTCAGCACCCCCGGCAGATGCCAGGATGAGGCTTCAAATAACAAAAAAAAATTGCATTCCACATGGGGGCGACTTTCAGGCTAAGAAGATGAGGAGGGGGAGGAGGAGGAGAAGGAGAATATGGCCATACCTTCACAAGAGTTCCAGTCACAATGGTGTCTTGGCTGTGAGCAATCTTTCCCCTCCCAACCCTCATTGCAGTGACAATAGAAGTCGCCTTGAATGTTAAAGCAGGCGGATTCGTGTTTGCACGGGTTTGGGCTGCACGGATCTGCATCTGTCTGGAATAAACCGGTCATGTAAATCATCATTATTATATTTATCATCAATAGAAAAAATGTCTCTAAATTCTTTGGATATGAAAGTGGGAGAACTGGAGTGTATCATGACAGTGGGAGAACTGGAGTATAACATGACAGTGGGAGAACTGGAGTATAACATGACAGTGGGAGAACTGGAGTATAACATGACAGTGGGAGAACTGGAGTATAACATGACAGTGGGAGAACTGGAGTGTATCATGACAGTGGGAGAACTGGAGTGTATCATGACAGTGGGAGAACTGGAGTATAACATGACAGTGGGAGAACTGGAGTATATCATGACAGTAGGAGAACAACATGACAGTGGGAGAACTCGAGTAAATCATGACAGTGGGAGAACTGGAGTATATCATGACAGTGGGAGAACTGGAGTATATCATGACAGTGGGAGAACTGGAGTATATCAAGACAGTGGGAGAACTGCAAGGAAGGAGTGACAAGGAGAAACACACACATATATATGCAAGTCAGAGAGTGAAAAAGAAAGAGATAGATAGACAGACAGGTTAGCAACAGGACATAGAGAAAACTTTGAATTCTAAAAGATCGGCACACAATCTCTATACCTCTTTTTTCTTCTCTTTAGTAAGCAAATTACTCAGGGTATGGTTTGGTCTAAGAAAGAGAATGATGATGATGAATAAGAGAAGAAGAAAAATAAGGAAGGTCAAGTGAATGTAGAATTAAAAGGAGATGCCGAAGAAGAAGAAGAAGAAGAAGGAGGAGGAGGAGGAGAAGAAGAAGAAGAAGGATGAGGAAGAGAAGGAGCAGGAAGAGGAGACGAAGAAGTTGGAGGGAGACGTTAACTAGACGGAGGAAGAAGAAGAAGAACGTGAAAAGGAGACGGAAAGGGAGAAAGGTAGAAACTATTATCAACTGGTTCGATCAGATCTAGTCTTTATACACCTTCTAAACCACAGATTGCTTGTGGCCACCACATTACACAGACTACTTTCTTCTCCTAGGCGTTCTCCGGCTGTGCACTCTGGCGAAAAGTTTTCGGTTGTTCGTCCACCTCTGGGCTTTGGTCTTGTTCCAGAACTTGAATTTTGCGTTTTTGTTACAGATTTAAAAAAAATTATTATTGTATATGGAGTCTTATTCACGTTTTACGGCCCATCTACACACTGGCTGACCTTTCATTAATGCTTTCTCAGACTGTTCTAGGTCAGAGGCGTGTCACGTTGTCTTGCTTCCAATGTCGTGTGTTCTATACCACACGACGACACAGCTTTAAACAGCCCCAGAAAATCTAGAACTGGCTCTAACCCTAACCCCCTACCACAGCGTGAGCCTAGGTCCGACGATAGACTCTTTTCAAGAAAAAGTACAACGTGACATTCTCTTACCTAAACCAGACTGAGAAACTGTGTAGATGGACTGAAAAACGTGAATAGGACCGTATATAGTTCCTTGCCTCTCAGGCAGATGCACTCCGACTTCATAGTACACAGAGAGCAGTGAACCTATTCCCACCCCTATCTACCCATATGGGCCCCGGCCGGAACCCACACGGGGACAACAAACGGTTGTGATCTACTTACCTGGCAGTAGAGCCCGGTATATCCAATAGGACACTCGCACTGGAAGGAGGCCACCTTGTCGTGACACACAGCTCCATTCTGGCAAGGTTGGCTGGCACACTCGTCTATCTCCACCAGACAAAACCGCCCTCTATATCCAGGCAAGCAGGCGCAGTAGAAGTCCCCGACAAGGTCCTGAAAGGATTGTAAGCAGAAATGTAATGGAAACTGACTGACTGACTTTCTACCCCACCAGGACATCACACAAGCGATAAACACCTGATGACACAAAGTGCTACCATGTGGATGAGGATCACCGTGGAGAGGTCCCAGAAACCGTAAAAAGGACGGCAAGTTATAATTATTAATGGAAACCTCTCTAATGTAGCGACTAAACATTCGCTTTCAGATACGAAAGTCGTGGATTCAAATCCGAACTGAGCCGGACATTTCTCAGACATGACCTTGGCTCCAAGATCGACCCAGCCTTAAGTGAGTACCATGTAAATTCCTAGGAAGTAAAGGCAGTCGGCGTGATGATGACCACATTACCCACTGAGTGCTGACTGGTCTACACAATATAGATCTCGCACACTCTACCCAAAACACCTCAAAGCGTTGTAAGTGATCCTTAAATATGTGTATGTATACACACAAACTTGTATATACGACACCTCTCGGAAATGATTCGTTACGAGAATGGGTGCACAAGTTACCAGAAAGATACAAATCAGTAATAAGTTCGGCACAGAACCAATTTTAAAGTTCTTCTTCTTCTTCTTCTTCTTCTTCTTCTTCTTCTTCTTCTTCTTCTTCTTCTTCTTCTTCTTCTTCTTCTTCTTCTTCTTCTTCTTCTTCTTCTTCTTCTTCTTCTTCTTCTTCTTCTTCTTCTTCTTCTCTTCCACCTTGTACCTCATCGAAGTGTCGGGGGGAGATATAATGTTCGTTGATGAGCTCTGTCAAGAGCACTGTTAAGACTGAAGTTCTATTCTGTTTAAAGTTAAGACAGCAAATCAAATGACTTGCTCGGACTTCAGTTTTCACGATGGCGACGAGCAACTGTCTTATTTTTCAGTGGCTGTAATTTCCATTGGATTGTTCTGCATTCTTTTCTCTGGTCCTGGGCTGTTATTCTCTGCGCGTTTCTAGAGCTGGATCGTTGTATTTTTCCTGGGGGCAGCATGTATTGTGGTTATACTCAGAGCTACCAATGGAATTTGTATCAAAACCTAAGTTAACCTGACCCTAAAACCCAAGCAATACATAGGTTAGTTGCGTATCCTTTACAGGACGTTGCAGAACCAACTCCAACAGCCCCTAGCTGTTGTGCGGTTTTTCTAGGCAAATTTACGTCCAGTAGTTTGCCATTGCTTCCTGGACGGTCGGCTTTCTTGATACCACTGTCGAAACCAATGCAAGACGCATGGCCCGCAGCTGGGATCAAACCCGGCATTCCGGTATTACGAAGCGTTCGCATCGACTTAGCCACAGAGCTGAAAAGCAATACATAACCAAAGGGAAAAAACCCAAGATTAATAAATAGTACAAATTAAATAGTCATTATAGTAGAACTCTTAGAACCGTATCTCTTATTGGACACTCAAATCGGCGAAACAGGAAGGGGAAAAATTGTAATTAAATATAATAATGCAACAGATATACTTCAAAAATTATAATTAAATATAATAATGCAACAGATATACTTCATACATGTAGTGGTAGCAATTTTCACACAAAAAATATCTTGGTCAACCTTCAGAGTTATAACTGGGATTCTGAAGTAGTAGTAGTAGTAGTAGTAGAAGTAGCAGCAGCAGCATCAACAACAGTAGTAACAGCAGTAGTAGTAGCAGCAACAACAGAAGCAGCGGTAGTAGTAGTAGTAGTAGTAGTAGTAGTAGTAGTAGTAGTAGTAGTAGTAGTAGTAGTAGTAGTAGTAGTAGTAGTAGTAGTAGTAGTAGTAGTAGTAGTAGTTGTTGTTGTTGTTGTTGTTGTTGTGATAGTAGAGGCTGCATTTGAAGCAGAAGTGGTGTTATTTGACAAGTAACAGCAGTATTGACATGTAATATTTGAAGAAGCAACAAAAGCATAATAGCATTATGTACAAACAAACTAACTAAAATAGTAAAAACTTAACAGAAAGAAAGACAAACTCTTGACTTACAACGCAGACAGCATCATTCGCACATACCACACCTTGACAGTCGTCGATATCTGAGGAGGGAAAAGACGGTGATCAAACTGGCAATATACACTTGCCTGATTCACTTCCTTTCCTTGTACAATTTAATCATCATCATCATCACTATCACGTTGTTCCACTGTATGTCACATAGGGCTCAAAGTATATTCCTGCATTCTTTTCTACCCCGTGCAATCCTTTTAACTTCACTGATGGAATTCAGTTGAACACCCCCCCCCCCCCCCACCCTCCGTGTGGGTTCCGGGGCCCCATTGTGGGGAAAACAAGAATAGACCCACTGCCTCCATAAAAGCATGTCGTAAGAGTCGACTAATTGGGGAGCTTCCTTTGAAGTCGGAGTGCAACTGCCGGAGAGGCAAGGAACCAACAGTCTGTATTCAAGATAATGAGATCTGTAAAACTGATGCACACGCAACACTCAGGTTCTGGAGCAGGACTGCAGTTCAGTAGTGGACGAGCAACCAGAACTTTCCGCCAGAGTGTACAGCTGGTGAACACGAAGAAGAAGAAGAAGTTGAACACCTTTGGCTTCTCTTATCAACGTTCGTTTTAGGGTTTCTCTGGACTTCCTATCATTCTCAATCTATTTATTTCCCATTTCGGTTCCTGCTTGGCGATTCTCTTCTCGTTTCTTCCCAGGATGCGTTCACACTGCGAAATCTTGTTTGTCAAACAAAAGTTGTTAACAGTAGTTGCCCGGACATTTCTCTTATTTCTTCACCCCTTTCGAATTCATCAAATTTTGTATTCAAAATTTGCCTAATGTGTTTGTTTCTGAAAAGAATTTAACTTTAGTTCCACATTTTTAGGGGTTCACCAGCTTTCAATATCATTTATTAAAACTGAAATAACATTAGAACTGAAAATTTGTAACTTGATTTTAAAACTGTACAGCTTAGTGCCATGTTTTATTCAAGCTTTTGAACGCCTGCCAATGCGTGCATGCCAAAATTACATTATATTTACTGTCTGAAATTTTTCTGTTTGGAGTTGGAATCATTGTCTGATCTTTGTATTACTGGACCTTCGTTTCACACCATTCTGATAAAAACAAAAAAGATAACAGAACTCCGCCTCCCTCTTTGGTGCATGTTAAAAATGGGGCGGTCATCTTTAAACTGTCGTCACTGGCTTAACACTCTTGACTCCTTAACAACTATTTTCAAAGGTTACGAGACAATAATATGGTTATTGTAATGTGATGACACTGTAGTGTTTCATTTGAATCCCTCTAGAATACGTTGTTCAATGCTCCTAAAAGACAGTCAGATAGCAGGTTAGGTTAGTTGCGTATCCTTTACAGGATGTTGCAGAACCAACCCCAACAGCCCCTGGCTGGTGTGTGGTTTTTCTAGGCAAATTTACGCCCAGTAGTTTGCCATTGCTTTCTGGACAGATAGCAGATGAACTTAAAATCCTGTATAAGGGCGTTGCGGGGCCGCCCATGTGCACTAAATAAAAAGTAACCATAACACCTCCTCTATCACAGAATGATAGCTGATTTAATAAACTTGCTGTATTTGACGAGGAGCGGATGGCTGAAAGGTTAGAACGCTGGACTCTTAAGCGGGAGACCCACGTTCGAATCCTCGGTAAGGCTGGGGATTTTTTCTGTCGCGGGAAAATAAAAACCTCACCTGCACAGTCGTGGCGACAGCACTAGCCATGCGGTCGTAAATCTCAGGCTCAAAGATCACCCAGCCTACTCCGCAGAAGTGGTAAAATAGAGGCAGCAATTGGCAGTTGGCTGCATTTAACTGTAATAGGCTGAGTGTCTATCTAAACAAATTATAATAATGTATGATGATCTAGAAACAGAAAAGATCTGCACGAAGGCCAAGGCTACGCTTTAAGAACATATAATAGAAACACGACCTGAAGAATGACAACACTGACACAGACTTTTGGCAGAGATCAGCTACAGACCGACTCATTCGGAGGCAGGCAGTGGAAGACGGACTGTCGCAGTTTCCAAGAGAACAAAAATAGCAAGCTATACAGAGGAGACGTCTGAGAGAAACCCGGCTTCATTATAATAGTGTCCGATAAATGGTTGCCTGTGTCTATCTGCCAAACGTCAAAGTCTGACAACTGTCCGATGAACCAACCGTAAGCTTGTTACTCTGGTGGTGAAGGCAGTCGGCTAATTTGCTGCCGCAGCGATACATAGGGGGGGGGGGGGGGGAGGAGGAGGGGTATCTGCACCCACTCCTTAATCCCACGCCAAATATTTATAGGACAAATTGAGGGGGTGGGGGGGGCGCTTAAGGGGCCTAATCCTAGTGTAAGGGGGTGATGATGATGATGATGATGATAATAATACTCAAGTGCTAAATCCAGGGCTAAAAAGTATAATTATACATTATTTATAAATGTAAAGTGTATAAACAAATAATTTATGGAGAATTTCCGTACACGGTTAAAAGGGGCTGCCTAGCCTTCTTACAAATTTAAACAATGCGAGATGTTGGGGAACTCATTAGCCGACCACAAACAGGAGAAATCCACAGGTCACGGGACAGGGGTGGTATTTCAAGGGGTGGTAGATTAAGCGCATAGTTTTGTTCAGGCTTAGTGTTAGATAAACGCGTGAGAAGAAACTCGCTAAAGCACAGAAAACACGGAAAACCCGCTGTTACCACCCTCTAACATATTGGACTGTCCCGTGATGTCATTTGTGGTCAGCTAAAAAGAAAGCGCCGGTGTTGGTTCAGCCACCTCCCTTCTCCAAACTGTTTGAAAGATGGGGGGGGGGGGCCTTTATGGCCTGGACCTCTAGGTCCCGGCCACTTGGCAATAGACGGACATAAAGGGGTGAAAATAACCAAAGAACCTGAAAAAAGAACGGCAACAACAACAACAACAACAACAACAACATCATTGTCCTACTCACTGACATCACACCTCTTTCCGGTCCAGCCAGGCTGACAGTCGCAGATGAAACTGCCTCGAATATTACGGCAGGCCAATGCGTTGACACAAGGACTTCCGTGGCACTCATCGGCGTCCAGCTGACAGTGAGGACCCTGGTAACATACAGCAAGGTTAGTTATGATGAGCTTTGGGCAGTTGGCGAGGCTAGCAGGTAACGGCTGTGGTCACCGCTCGCACTTTCCTTTGGCAGATAAAAAGGGGTACAGCTGGCCGCATACCCGTTCCAGAGCCGCCCCAGGCAAACAAACTGCCCTTGTTAGGGCAGTTTACGATCCCCTTCCTCACTACAGATACAAAAGAGAAGACAGTATCACCTGACAAAGAAACTGGAAAGAAGCAAGCGTAACCATACGCAGCAAATAAACGAAGCCAAGATAAAGCCGCTGCTCATTCTAGGAGCTGGCTGAAATTGGCAAGAATGTTTTTTTTTTTGTTTTGTTTTACGATATTGAGATCCAGATCCGCCCTGTTACGGCATAGGGCAATCCCAATCAGCAGAACGAAACATGTCATTCATACAAAGCATGCTTATTCCCATCCTATGCTACCAGTGCCAGACAGCAGCCCACTAATGTAGATCATTGTTTTGCCTTCTTCTTCTGCTTCTTCTTCTTTGTAATTGCTAACAAACTCACAGAGCAAGCTTCGGAAAATTGAAACTGTCAACTTTAAGACTCAGACCAGAGCATATCATGAATTGTCTGTCCATGATATTTCGGTGTGCGCGATAATGAGCTGGTTTTTAGATTGGCTGCTGCTGCCGCCCCTCTGGGCATTGAGCTACTTCATGATAAAGCAGATGTGGTATTGGCATAGCTTGCCCTCCTCTCAAAGCATAAGGCAATCCAAATCAGCACAAAGAACGATCTCATACAAAACATATTCATTCCCACGCTATGCTACCAGTGCCAGACGGGGTCACTCACAACAAAACATAACAGAAAATTAGTAACCAGGGAAATAAGGTGTCTGAGAAGGACTGTAGGAGTGACCAGAATAAAGTTATACGAGATCAGGTCTGCACAGAACCAAATTGCATACAAAGAAAACAAATCAAATGGTTTGCCCACTTGTATAGAATGATTCCTGATGTTTTATCATACAAGGTATATACCAAAAGAGAGAGCAAGAGGCAGACCAAGAACAAGATGGGAAGATTACAACAGAGCATCTCTACAGCACCACCATGAGTCTATGGTCGAAGCAGTAAGAAAAGCACGAAGCTGCGGGAGCAGCGCCGTTAGGCCACTCTTTTCGATTTCCAACTGCTAAGCGATTGTTTTACGCCTGTACCACGTAAAAAAGTCCCAGCCTTTACCGCGGATTAACCCCAGGATCTCCAGCACTCGAGGCGGATACCATGCCTCGAGACCACTCAGCCCGCCGATAAAGCTGCATAAATAAGATAAAAAGTAATGTATAAAGTGGATTATGAACAGTCAGTCAGTTGTTCGAGGGAAGTTATGTAGCAACAGCATAGACAACGAAAAACGGTACTTTATTTTTTTACGACCACACCTCGTCGGCTTCGAGATTTCATATGTAATTCCTAATGATCCCTAGAAGTTTCTCTGGACTGTACCAAATTATGGGGTGGAGGAGGGGGGCGGAGGGATTAGGCTTGGGGCTAGTGTCAAATGAATAGTGACTACTATAGTGACTCTTCCCCTCCCCCCTCTCTCTCTCTGTGTGGTGTGTGTGTAAGTGTGTGTAAGTGTGTGAGTGTTTGTGTGTGTAAAACACTCTATCTCCACACATTTTAACATATGCATTTCAAGCTAGATGTGAGGACCCTTTGGGAGAGAGTTAAAAATGCAGCAATAAAGAGATTATCACGGTCTGAAGAGATTGGTGCAGTGGGGAAAGGCCAAGGGAGCTCTCGCTGAGCCGCAGTACTAGAGGATTAGCGATTAGTGAGGACTATGCTCACAGCACTCCGGACAGATCCATAAGTGCTCCAATCTCCCCTTCAGTAACTCCACAAATGTAATCGGCCAATGACGGTCTGTATTGGTTAACTAAACTTGGCGCAAAGTTAAAGGTTAGGCCAGTTTTTCGGGAAGCACTTATAGATACAGTATTGTTTCGAATTCAGGTGGGGGGGGGGGGGGGAAGAATGACATAATCAGACTGTATTTGCATTATACGAGTTGAAACGCTTCGCTAGCTGTTAAAAATAGGGACAGAGCGCTTATGGGGATGTCCTAAGTGCTGTGATTTAGTTTATTACCCCAACTCCACTCAACCCACCCACCCACCCACCCACGCACATGCTCACGCACACACACGCGCGCGCGCACACACACACACACACACACCCACCCACTCATACATACAGACACACACACAAATTAAAAAAAAGACAGAATAACAAACAAAACAAACAAATGCCAACAGTTACCTGCCACTCCTCTGGACACTCACACCGATACCCGTTATCTTGGTCAGTGCATTTTCCTCCATTTAAACACGGACTGGACGTGCACTCATCGATGTCTGTTGATTACAACAAAAGGACACAATGAGTGAAGGACTTATCATCATCTTCTTCATTTTCTCTTTAACGCTTGGGATGTGAGGGGAGATATACCGGACATGTTCTTGCTCTGATAACTACATCGACCACAGACACATTGTGCTAGTGCAGAGGTTCTTTGATGTTATCTTTTCATCTTGTTCTTGTTCTTCTAGCTACTTCGACCTCAGACACTTTGTACTATTGTAGAGATTCTTTGATGTTATATTTTCATCTTGTTGCTGGTATTCTTGATCTTAGCCACCTCGACCACAGACACAATGTACAACTGTAGACTTTCTTTGACGTTACCTTTTTATCTTGTTCTTGGTCTAACACATATTCTTAGTCCAACTACTTTGTGTTATGGGCATAATATTCATCTAAAAACATCATAGTAATGCCACGTGAGCTTTCATTGTCATATTTTCATAACAGGATCGTGAAAAGTTGACTGAGTAAAACTTGTTTAATGAATGCTCAGTGTATTCACGCATTAGCTTATTCACTGACTTTCACTCAATCGCTTTAAAAAAATGTTTATCAGTCAATTACTCATTTTTTTATTCACATTTCATAAGGCCGCTGCTCGCTCGCTCGCTCACTCACTCACACACTCGCTCGCTCGCCCGCTTGCTCACTTACTCACTCACTTACTCACTCACTCACTCGCTCCCTCGCTCGCTCACTCACTCACTCACTCACTCACTCACTCACTCACTCACTCACTCACTCACTCACTCACTCACTCACTCACTCACTCACTCACTCACTCCCCACTCACTCATTCATCCACCCACCGACCCACTTACTCACTCACTCACTTAATCACATACTCATTAACCCACCCATCCACCAACCCACATACTCACTCACCTACTTACTCACTCACTCATTCACTCACTCAGTCAATGAATGCTCAGTGTATTCAAGCATTAGCTTATTCACTGACTTTCACTCACTCGCTTTAAAAAAAAATATTTATCAGTCAATTACTCATTTTTCTATTCACATTTCATAAGGCCGCTGCACGCTTGCTCGCTCACTCACTCACTTGCTCGCTCGCTCGCCCGCTTGCTCACTTCTTCACTCACTTACTCACTCACTCACTCGCTCACTCGCTCGCTCACTCACTCACTCACTCACTCACTCACTCACTCACTCACTCACTCACTCACTCACTCACTCACTCACTCACTCACTCACTCACTCACTCACTCACTCACTCACTCACTCACACTCACTCACTCATCCACCCACCGACCCACTTACTCACTCACTCACTCACTTAATCACATACTCATTAACCCACCCATCCACCAACCCACATACTCACTCACCTACTTACTCACTCACTCATTCACTCACTCACTCATTTACTTACTCACTCATTCCCAAATGCACCCACCTCCATACATTTATATATTTAGTCAGTGACACAGCTACTGTTCTGCTCATTCATTTGCTCACTCACTCTTGCTCGTTCTCTTTAACACACACACACACACACACATGTATGTGTGTATATATATATATATATATATATATATATATATATATATATATATATATATATATATATACATGTGTGTGTGTGTGTGTGTGTGTGTTTTAAAGAAAAAACTGGTCTTTTAACTTAAATAATTTAATGAATCATTTAAGAATTCGGTCCCATACTACTGATTGGCAATCCATCCATCCATATATGAAAAACCAAACAAAAAATCTACCTTGTTCAACCTACTGCGAGCAGTATTGGTTATAACTGTGGTCTGATTTCTTTGTGCCAGTCATGTTGGCCAAGAAGTGTTAATTGCACCAAAGCTGTATAGACACAAAATCAAGCTTTTCTTTGCAGTCACTATTCAGCATTATCACCTAATTATAGATTTAAAAAAAAACTTACCAGTGTCACAAGTGTGACCGGTCCAGCCAGACGGACAGTTGCAGACGAAACCGTTGACCACGTCTGCACATGACCCTCCATTACGACATGGATGCGAGAAACAAGGGTGTTCGGCTGAAGTGGACATGTGTGTTCATGTTAAGAAAGCACAGTATGATAAATATGTTGAAGCGACACTCAATAGTTTTAGATGTATTCTGTTCCTATTCCCTAGCTGTGCACTAAACACGCCCAACAAAGACACCATGTTTTAGGAGTGCCTAGTTGGTAATGTATCTAAATACACTTATTTCCGTAGCCAGGCATATGCAACATTTGGAGGTGACAGGTTCGATTCCATGACGGTAACTATTACTTTCGAGCTTTTTGTTGTCAAGTGTATCCTTCTATCTTTCTACTTCTTTCTACGAGTGCCAATGAATGCATGTCTGTTTATTATATAACATTCATAGGGATGGAAAGACACACTAGCTAACCATAAAATCGAAATTTTTAGTAGCTTCAATACGACGCCTAGACTCTTTTATAATAGTTATATCTTCTTTTTCTTTTATCCACTCCTGGAATGCCTCGCTCCGTCAGCACATGAAGAGATCTCTAGAACGGGCTTTTTTGTTAGCTTCGTATAAAGAACTTTGCAGTGTCATGATATTTATGCGGTCTATGTTCTGCGTGGTCGACCTCTAGACCTGCTACCGGTGTATCTGTATAACACTGCACTCTGAGGTGCCCTGTCGGATGCCAATCTTCTTACATGGCCAAACTATTTGATTTGTTGTCAGGATATGTTGTTTGTTTTAGTATCCAGAAGCCATGAGTTGTTAATGTTAACCCTTAGGCTCGGTATTATGGATATCGCAACCTTTCGGCCTTGATTCCATTTTAAATACCGTAAATCTAGGAGAAATGTGGCTTTTCTGCCCACCCCCGGGAGTGAACCCGGACCACAAGGAGTTCGTCACCCGCTCACCGCGCAATCCGGTTTAGCCAACTACGCTAGAGAGACGGACGTTGTCTGGCTATAAAATTCAGTATTGGTTCTGTGCCGACTCTTCTCCTGATATCGTCCCTAAGTCGATCTTTCCTCGTTACACCTGACATAGTACGTCAACATTCCGTTTCTGCCGCGAATATATCCCTTATATCTTCTGAAGACAGTGTCTATGTTTGAAATTGATAGATCAGTATTGCTAAAAATATTTATATTGCCTCAGGGTTTCCTTGCCGTTTCTTTCTTCTAGGTTAGTAAAGTAAGTAAGGAAAGTAAAGGCCTCTTTTCACACCCCTGACGTATCGAGCATATGATGTTAGACTATTTTTTTTATAGATCAATGAATGATGTGATCAGCTTCACGCCGGCTGCCTTTACTTCCCAGGATTTTACCTGGTACACTTTTAAGCTGTGTCGATCTGGGAGCTGATGGATTTTTGAAAGAAAAAAAAACCAGACTCGTAGTGGACTCGAACCCATGTATGTTGGGTCGAAAGCGAGCTCTGCCCGCTACACCACCATGTGGCTCTTCTCTTAAGAAAATACAGCATATTAAAATGTATAAAAAATGACATAATTATAAATTTCTATCAAGACATTAACAACTTCAAAATAATGTTTTCCCCGTTGTAAAATTTAAATAATGTGGATACGAACAATACATTGCATCATGCAATGGATCGCAAACTGTTCCTCCCCACAACGCTTAACGGCAAAAATGGTAATTATTGATGACAGTGATGACAAGCAATACACAGCACAATTCATTGCCTGACATATTTGGCTGCATCTCGTCAGATAAATTGTTAGAGAATTAAATCAAAGATTTAAGACAACGTTTAAAAAATCCTTTTGGCTGAAATACATAAATCACATTGCTAAGTTAAGACTGCACATCTCTCGTAATCTCATAACAATACCTAATATAAACATAACGACAAGGGGAAATGTCCCATATAAAGAGATGATACCTGACTATAAATCCAACTATCATAAAGCATATCCATCATCTCCTTGTGAGATGCAATTTTTCATTATTTTAAGCCCTACCCTGGCTCTTGCCAGGGCCCGCAATATAGGTCGACCATAAATATGGTCTAATGGCTAAACGCGGTTTCTAGGACCTCTTCACAGTGATCCTCACCCACATGGTGGCACTTTGTGTCATCGGGTGTTTATCGCTTGTGTGAAGTCCTAGTTGGGCAAAATGTACTACCTCTACTATAAATCGCACATTGTATTTCATAAATGACATGTTTTGTGGACTGCACATTAGGAAAACGAAGAAGTTAATTATACTTGACTAACCTATCTCGCAGTTTTTGCCAGAGAACCCCATGGAGCAGGAGCAGTCGTAGCTGTCTGGAGCTGTGTTCCGACACAGTCCTTTGTTTTTGCACGGTTGATGTCTCCCGCAGTAATTTAAATCTAGAGTTAGAAAGGAAACAGCAATGTCAAACCACTAGGTCATTTGTATAACTAATAAGACAAAGGAGGAGGAAGATAAGAGGAAGAAGAAGAAGAAGAAGATAAAAGGAGCAGGAAGAAGAATAAGACGATAATTATGATCAAGGTAGTAGGAAGGGGAGGTGGAGGAGGAGAAGAAGAATGATGAGATAGAGGAGGACATGCCCCCCCCCCTTTTTCCCACCCCCCCCCCAAATGAAGATAAACACATGCAAGTGTACGAAATGAACTACTCACGCTAAATGAGGATAAATATGAGATATTATGAGTAGAACATGGATTTTGGTAAAAAAAACAAGACAAAGATAACGCAGAAGGAATAGGGGGAATATGAGGAGAACAATAAAGGAATGCTAGTAGTAGTTTTAGAGCCGGGTAGGAAGAAGAAGATAAAGATGTCGATGAAGATGACATTGAATATACAACGAAGAGGACAATGAAAATGACAATGAAAATGACAATGAAAATGGCAATGAAGATGACAATAAAGAGGACAATGAATATGACAATGAAGATGACAATAAAGATGACGATGAAGATGACAATGAAGATGACAATGAAAATGACAATGAAAATGGCTATGAAGATGACAATAAGGAGGACAATGAAGATGACAATGACGATGACAATGAAGATGACAATGAAGATGACAATGAAGATGACAATGAAGATGACAATGAAGATGACTTTGACGAGGACAATGAAGATGACAATGAAGATGACAATAAAAAGGACAATAAAGATGACGATGAAGATGACAATAAAAATGACAATGAAGATGACAATGAAAATGACAATGAAGAGGACAATAAAGATGAAAATGAAGATGACAATGAAAATGACAATGAAGATGACAATAACGAGGACAATAAAGATGCCAAAGAAGATGACAATGACGAGGACAATGAAGATGACAATAAAGATGACAATAAAGAGGACAATAAAGATGACAATGAAGATGACAATGAAGATGACAATAAAGAGGACAATAAAGATGACAATAAAGATGACAATAAAGAGGACAATAACGATGACAATGAAGATGACAATGAAGATGAAAATGACGAGGACAATGAAGATGACAATAAAGATGACAATGAAGATGACAATGAAGATGACAATGAAGATGACAATGAAGATGACAATGAAAATGACAACGAAGAGGACAATGAAGAGGACAATGAATATGACAATGAAGATGACAATGAAGAGGACAATGAAAAGGACAATGAAGATGACAATGAAGAGGATATGAAGAGGACATGAAGATGACAATAAAGATACAGGGAAGAGGACAATGAAGAAGGAGAGGTGGGCGGGATAAAAAGACAAGTGTTGCAGTATGTAGGATGCAAAGGTAAGTTAGTTTAGTTAGTTAGTTAGTTAGTTAGTTAGTTAGTTAGTTAGTCTTTCCACTTGAGTCTAGGGCGACGAATAGGCCAGAGGTCATATTTCTCCATGACTGGCGGTTCCTTGACAGGTGTTTTAGGTCTTGGATATTCATTAGGCTCATGGTTGAGACTTCCTTGATGATAGTTCTACTCGGGGTCTCTCTTGGTCTTCCGTTTTCTTTTGCCATCTGGTGTCCACGTGAAGGCGTGGATGCACAGATGCCGAACTACATCTGATGGTGGACAAGCACAAGGGCTGATACTGGTAAAAACGTATCTATACTTCTTCGCGGTGATCGTACACACCGGCTTCCAGCCAGGTCTGGCCATCTTAGGCACGATCAACGTTTCTTTCGAAGTCGGAGTACATCTGCCTGAGAGGTGAGCAACTAACAGTCTGCATACAGATATGCCAGGTCTGTAAAAAATGGATGGGTACAAAAATGTCATTTCCTGGAACTAGACTAAAGTTCAGAAGTGGATGAACACTCAAGACCTTTCGCTTGAGTTTGCAGACGGCAAACGCGAATTGTCCCCCTAACCAAGTCAATAAATTAAAATATCTGGAAACAGTCATATCATCGGATAGAAAATGTGTGACAGAGATTAAAAGCAGAATAGGTCAAGCGAAGGCAGCATTTCAGAATATGAAAAATATCTTATGCAATAAGTTGCTCTTATTTAATGTCAGAAAGTAAGTAAAAGTAAAGATCCATTTTCACGCCTTTGGCGCATCCGGCATATGGGAAGAGCACATCCCATACTTGTACAGACCAATCGGCACTAGTTGGATAATGTGGTTTGCATGACACCGGCCGTCTTTACTTCCCCAGGACATCCATCCTGGTACCAATTTTAGGCTGGGTCGACCTGCGACGCCCCATACCAGGATAAAAATCCACGCTGCCAGCAGTGGGTATGTCAGAAAGAGGGTGCTTAAATGTTACATAGAACCCGTTCTGCCGTACGGTAGTGAATCTTGGAATGTCAAATGTCAGTGAACAAATTAAAAAGAATTTGGAAGCAACAGAGATGTCGTTTCTGAGACGAATGTTACAAATACCTTGGACAGCCAGAGTAACTGACAACGATTGTTTGAAAGAAGCTAATGAAAGTAAATCTATATACAACAATAAGAAAGAGACAAAAACTTTTCTTTGGCCACGTAATGAGGAGAAAGGCATTGGAAAACATTGTGAAAACTGGAAAGATCTGTGGGAAAAGGGGTAGAGGCAGACAAAGAGAGATGATGCTGGATGAGCTGAAACCAAGGCATGGATGGATATCATCAAGAGAGCTGTTCCAGGCAACCAGGGATCGTGATCTGTCTAGACGCATGAGCGCCTATGCCA